TTGCACTTGCCTTAATTTCTTGCAATAGCTTGTTACGTGTTGTATTTCCGCTAGTAAATGCCATGTGATAAGTCGACAGTCAACTGGGCAACATGAGCCAGAACGTAAGATGTGACGATTTCTTCGTGGCTCAGATCTTCCATCGAGGTAACACAGACGTTATTACACGACTTACGTATGCTGCATTCACGCTCTTGTGGCGTACCACTACTAGTATTCTGATCTGCATCATGTTTTTTTTGCTGTACTTCGAACATGTTCAAACACGTCACGCCAGTGAGAGTAGAGTCCTGATCTCACTTCTGATGTAAGCTTGAGGGTAGACATTATCTTGTTGAACACCAAGTAAAACGATGTCACTCCTATTGCACGTGCTATATAACATAAATATCGTTAACGCCGTCAAGTATTTATTTTTATTAACAGAGCTATTTTACATAATTGTGTAAATGGCGATTTAGGCATTGCCCTTTTGAAGTATAACAAATTTACAAGATTTTTTTAACAAAATAACCTATGCGACATAAAATATTAACAATAAAATAATCTATGCAATATTAAAATTCTGATAATAGCTACTACAAGATTTTATTGTATTAAATAATAAAGTACTGAAAAACCGACATGTAAGATAGTTTTATGACTGAATAAAGAAATTACTGACAGAAAATATAGATGAAATTCATAATGGATCAACAAATCGAGTGAATCGTTGAACTTATTGTTATTAAATATAAAGGATTAGCGACGTATTTTATTAGAAATAGTTTTAAGCTCTTATATGAATATTGTGGTATTTAAAACAAAAATCACTGAAAGTTTACTTATATATAATTATTTAATTCAACATACATATCTAAGCGTTATAAAAATAAGTAAATCAATTTAAGTGATAAAGGAAAACATTTCATTGTTGGTAAGTGTAATAAACAACACAATTCCGGAACCTTAAAATAGTAAAACTTAATCTGACGTGGAAATAAGACTGACAAAACGTGAATATTTACAATTTCAAGTTGTTTTTCCAGTTGAAATCTTTACCACTGCATAGATAACTCAAGTGGTACACGATCTATAGTAATCAGAACGTTTCGTTATTTCCGACAGATAATAATTCATCTGCGTATTAAGATCTGCTATTTGTTTTTCTAGTGTGTTCAATTGCTCGTTATGGTCATTATATAGTTCTTCCATATTTATTAACAGTTTGAGTTGTGATTGCGTATCACTCGCCAACTTCGTAGCACGTTCTAATAGTAGCTGAGCTCGATCTCTGGATTTTGTAGTCTGGTTTGCTTGCGCGGCTAGGGTTTTGTTCGTTCTTTCAAAATCATTCTGGAGCTGTTTGGCTTTGAGTTCAGCATCTTTTGCGCGATTAACTACATCGTCAGCTTCTTGTTTTACTTGTTCTGCATCGCTTTCTACTTTTAATCTGTTCTTCTGTAAATCAGACAGCCGCGAACGTAAGGATTCAACATCATTTGTAACGTTAATGGCTTTAATTCGCGCTTCTTCTGTTTCCATTGCTATTGGCGCGAGATCATTTTTAGCCGCGTCTATATCATTGTTTGCTTTTTGTACAGCTTTTTCGGCTGCTTCTTGAGCGGATTGAGTTTCATTAAGAGCCTGCAGTACCTTGTTGGCCATCTCAAGTGTTAAGTGTGCATCTTTTCGAACAACAGTTGCATTTTCTCTAAGAGTATTGGCTTTATCTAGGTCAGGTTTAGTTTCAGCAATAATAGTTTCAATATTTGTTAATTGCGAAACGGATTCGTTAATTCTCTGTGACAGATCAGTAATTTCTTGAGGTTCGATTCTTATAGACAAGTTCAATATGTTATTTGCTAATGCTTTAACATCATCTGGAATCGTCGATGTGTTTGATATGAAATTTTTGAGGTCAGCAGTTATTTTTTGACTTTCATTAGTTACCCTATCTGCCGAGGATTTGAATTGTAGTGCTCGATTTTGTAATTCATCAGCTCTTGCACGAACTGCANAATCAGTAATTTCTTGAGGTTCGATTCTTATAGACAAGTTCAATATGTTATTTGCTAATGCTTTAACATCATCTGGAATCGTCGATGTGTTTGATATGAAATTTTTGAGGTCAGCAGTTATTTTTTGACTTTCATTAGTTACCCTATCTGCCGAGGATTTGAATTGTAGTGCTCGATTTTGTAATTCATCAGCTCTTGCACGAACTGCAACTGTATCCTGCTTAACTTGAGAAATAGATCTAAACATGTCCTCGGCAGTAAGTTCGTGTTCCTTGATTCTGTTTTCAGTTTTATTAGCGAAATCTAATGCTTGTTCTGCTTTGGTAACAGCACCTTGATCGCAAGATATGCCACCACATTTTCCACACCCTGCACCTCCACAGATATCACAAGAATCTGTTTCTTCACCACACATCATTTCATTTAGTTTTGGGATTTGTTTTTCCAAATTAGATAATTGCTCTGCAGTTTCGTTAACTTTTTTGTCATTATCATTATGAGTTGCTTGGAAATGATTATATTGCATTTCAATTAATTTTTCTGTATTTTTTACTTGGCGATCGGTATCTGCAATCACAGATTGAGCTCGTTCGGTGTCATTTATAGCTTTGACAGCTCGTAATTTGGCTTCCCGAGTTAAATTAAGTGCTCCCTCTAAGTTAGCTTCTTGTAATTTTGTAGCATTGTTAGACAGATCAAGTGTTCTCGACTTAAGTTTTTGTGTTTCTTCTCTAATACTATCTAACGTAACATTTTCTAGATTTATTTTAGTTGTAACATCATTAAGGTGTTCATTACTATTTTTTATTTTATTTTCTGCCTTTGTCAGTAAATCTTGAATACTTGTAATGTTGGATAATAGATCTTGTACAGTGGACTGCCCATGTTTTTCACTTTGAAGCATGTTTTCTATTTCAAACAATTTCTTCGTCATTTCATCAAAATCTCTTGTGTATGCTCCTGTGGCGCCAATAACTTTTATTTTACTCGCATTAGCAATGGCATACTCAGTTCTTGTTTTCAGATCATTAATTATTTTATCCCAGTTATCGAAACATTCTCCACATGCATAACATTGAGGAGCTTCTCCAAGAAAACCCCGAGCACACGTGTCACATTTGTAACCACCTATTCCAGGTCTACAAATACAGGAACCATTTTCTCGCATGCATTGTTGTGAAGTAGCTCCATACCTATTACACTCGCATTCATAGCATTCAATATTGGGATTACCCCAATAATTTTCTTCACATTGGTCGCACTGTCTACCTCCGTGACCCGGTTTGCAGCTACATTTACCGATATATGGATTACACTGTTGGGATACCGATCCAATAATGTCACAATCACAAGGGTCACATCCAGTTCCTACAGCAATTCTCCAATGATTTTCTGTACATTGGTCGCAATTTATTCCCATAACATTTTTATGGCAAGGACATTGTCCAGTAATTGAATCGCAATTACCGATCGTAAAGTTCGTGCCTAAAACGGAACAATTGCATTTATAACAAGCTTTTTCTAAGGCATTGCCATAATATCCTTCTTCACAAACATCACAATGCTCTCCAGCTGTGTTATATAAACACTGCAAACATTTTCCTGTATAAGGATCACAATTTCCAGGTTTTGTAATATCTATATTTTCATTGCATTCACATTTTTCACATGTACCTCGCAGCGGGTCTCCGTAGTAATTATCAGCACATACGTCACAAAGTGGCCCTGCGTATCCTTCACTACAGTCACAAACAACATCTTTTGTTTCTGGATCAAGTATACAACGATCTGCATGACTATTTTTGTTTGTATCTCCTTTGATACCAGGGCATGGACATGGTCTACAAGGTATATCAAAGCCCAAGCGAGGGTCACCATAATAACCTTCAACACATCTTTCACATCGAGTCCCCTCTGTATAATCTTTACATTCTTTACAGGCTCCTGTTTTATCATCGCATTCGAATGCATGCCCATTGCAATCGCACTGCTGGCAATTCGGAAAGTTAAAGTAACCTGGTTGACACAAGTTGCAAGCACGACCATAAGTGTTTGCTCTGCATTTGCATTGGCCACTGGTTGCATCGCAGAAATTATCGAGTGAGCCGATACTACTACAGTCACACCGTTTACATCCAAATTTACTGAATCCATATGTACCGGGTGCACAGCGATCGCACCTGGCCCCAACAATGTTTTCTACACATTGACAAAATCCAGTGTAAGGGTCGCATTGGTGACTTTTGGAACCAGTGAGATCGCATTGACATGGCTGTGAACCTCTACGGGCATAAAAACCTATACTTGCATGATGTTTTTTACATATTTCTGGGACGGTCTCTCTGTTTAAATCATAATAATAAGAATCACCACAATTGTATCGATCAAATTCTTGTCTTATTTCTGTTCCATTCGCCAAGAACGGTATATCATCAAACGATGGTATAAGGACAATGGAATCTATTAAAATAGTGGCTCTAGTATTTGAAGAATAACCATCCTGACGACCAAGATAGATTCTTATTTCAGTTTCTTTATCTTTTTCTAAACAAACAGACGGTTTTACCAAAAAACTGCGTTGGTTCGCTGGTAACGTAGCATGAATAGTATCATCTTCTGGTCTTACATTTGCACAAGGTGAATCCGAATCTAATGGTAAGGGTCTTTTTACCAATATAGTGGCTTCCTTCCAGTCCAATGGTGACTGTTGCTCATATCTTATTAATATGTTGTAGTTCATACTTCTTTGTAGATCTTTGATCGTAAATACTAAGGTGCTGCTTTCTGGTAGCTTCATGAATCCAGGGCCAGTCCAAGTTTCCTTCCTGCCGTCTGGGTAGTTTTCTCTAATAACAACGTGACATATTTGACTTTGAATAGCATTATCATCGATTTGTGAATCACACTGACTAGATTCTGCTTCAACTACGTTTGAATCTAAAGCTCCCACGAAAAAGTTTTGTATCGGCTGATCGCAACGACGTCCGGTTACATGTGGTCGGCATTTACATTGTCCTGTTATTACGTCACACTCGCGGTCTAGAGAGCCTCCCAAATCGCAGTCACAGGGCAAGCACCCATCTACGTCTTCAGATAAACCGTAAAATTCTGGTAAACATTGGTCACAATTACGCCCAGTGACATGTCGTTTGCAGAAGCAATTACCAGTCGCCGGGTCACACCCTCTCTCGTTTATTGTTCCCAAGCTATTGCATGTGCAAGATTCACATCCATCAGGATTATTAATATCAAGATTCCAAAAACCATCTCTACATCTGTCACATCTTGCACCACCAATATTAGTTTTACACATACATCGTCCAGCAGTCTTATTATTGGCTATGTCTGTTTCGTCGTCACAAAGTACTTCCTCATCAGTTGTACCCTGTGGATCACAATCACAAGGTTTGCATATATCCGGACTTTGTATATCTAAGCTGGGATCCTTATAAAACTTAGGTCTACAACGTTCACAGTTTACACCAATTGTATTATGCTGGCAATTATCACAAACACCACCACTTATTTTTCCTGTTTTATTGTAGACCGCGGGATCAAAATGACAAGTTGTCGCGTGATTATTACATGTACACCGCTTGCAGGCGTTTGAGGTTTTACCAACTGCAGGTTGCCAAGGAAGATCGTTGTAAAAATCTTCACAGTATTCACAATTCAAGCCCCGAGTGTTATGGTTACATTCACAACGCCCATGTACCATGTTAGTCTTCGACTCTACGCCAGGCATCGGCAAACACCTAGAGGCATGTCCATAGCACGAGCACGATCCACGAACAGTCATTTCATAAATCGCATAGTAGTACTTTTCTTGTATTTCTTTTCTGTTGTCCAATTTATCATCTCCCAAAGTGTGCAGTTTAGTAAAATTTATTCTAAGATTTGTCATGCGTAATAAGTTTTGAACTTCTTCGGAGTAAGGATTTGTAACATTTATGTTTGGCGGCAATACTCTGAATATTACTTCTCCTTCTGTCGAAGGAGACACTCCAGAGTATCGAGACTCGCAAACAACTTCAGTTAACGATCTTTGAGTGTGATGCGGAACTGGGAAGTTTTCACAGTTGTGAGCAAAGTATCGGTAGGTCCGCCAGGTTTTTCCAAAATCAAAGGATCTCTCAACCAACATCGCAGCAGGACGAAACGTTCTGAATTGTATTATCAAATGCGTGAGATGAAACTCTGCTTCCATGTTCAGCTGAATTGTTACATTTTCCTTGCCGTTTTCCGATTGCCACCATGACTTGACTCGAGTTCCCGGATAATACTTGTAGATGATATTCTGTATCCGATGGTTAAGATAAGGATTATGCAGAGTAGCGTTGGTAGAATCGCACCAGAAACATTGTTTGGGTTCGAGATGCGAAACGATACAGTACCGCTGACGTTTGTGTAAACCGCACGTCGAAGAGGCGAAAAGACGCGCTTCCCGTCCGATTAGTAAATTACCGGTAGCTGGATAGCAAGAACTGAGTTCACAGGCACGGTCAGTGAGTCGTGGGTCGGATCGCTGACGATCACGCTCGCGGCTGTACACAGCGCTGCCACATCCGAACAGCGCCGACACGATCAGCAGAACGCGCAGAGCCATGCCGCGGATTTGGCTCTACGCACAAGACTCACTGCACAATTCAGCGTCTCGACTGGCTCAAACTTTACAAACGAAACACAGTTGTGCCCGCCTTATCCCCCGCTTCTCCTCACACCCTTAGCACAGGGACGTACTCTGAGATACATANCTGTACACAGCGCTGCCACATCCGAACAGCGCCGACACGATCAGCAGAACGCGCAGAGCCATGCCGCGGATTTGGCTCTACGCACAAGACTCACTGCACAATTCAGCGTCTCGACTGGCTCAAACTTTACAAACGAAACACAGTTGTGCCCGCCTTATCCCCCGCTTCTCCTCACACCCTTAGCACAGGGACGTACTCTGAGATACATACCTGTATTATTTCCAAACATGTATGCATATGTTAAAGTAAATACAAAAGCTAATCCTAACACGCTCTATTTATAATGTTTCGAAGCAGGGCGGCCATTTAATGAAAATACTAATTATACTCACACTACATACACTAACACAGTTTGAAAGTTTAGTTTTTTGATAAATTTTATTTGCTAATCAAAACATATTTAGGTAGTGAATAGCTTTGATATGATATTTTAAATTATATAATAGATGTTTACTCTAAAATAATAATATTCCTCTTAATTATAATTCCGTTCCAATAAAAAAGGTATCCTCGAATTCGGCTCTGTATTGGGTTCGACTACTGGGTATTAGAAGGTTTTGCTTTATGCATTTTTAAACAATTTAATAGCATTTCAAAATCGCAAAGTTAACTATGCTTTAGAGATGTTTTACGAATATGTGCATTTATTTATATGTTAATTGGTAGAGAGACATCCGTTTATATATTGGTGTGAGCTTTCTTTTAGACAGCACCGATATTTACTATATAATATATTTCTGCCGGTAAACGTTCCTATTTTAAAATAAATCACATGATCTCATGCCTCAAACTGGGCGACGGGTGATAGATAGGAGCATAATGTGGGACTTTTTAGAATATCATATCAGGCAGAAAAACTTTACAAATATTCTCTGAAAAATTCATTTCTTTGTGACAAGTTTAGAGGCCATAATATACGAAGATATGAGCATTTTTTTCTCCCTATCTATTTGCAGGTAGCCCAAGGGGCTATTCCAGCTACGTGCGGACAGGCAAAGGAGCTCACTGGTTCATCCTGAGAGAATTTGCTAAACTCATGTGTCAATGTGGGTGGCGGCATTCACGCTCTCTTCTATATATGTATATTCGTGTCCATTCTCTCCGGTCAGCACTTAGTACCGAGTGCCTCATTTTTGCCGTATAAACATTTCAACGTGAATGTAACCACTCGCTCTGAGACACAAGACCAAAGAATCAACTATGTATATAAAGGTTGTTTCATCCTTCAAAGCGGAACTTTTTTCCCTACCTATGCTGATAGCCTTGAGAGGCGATTTCAGCTTCACCCTAGCGTGTAGGTGAGCTCTCGGGGCTCAAACCGGAAGTGTTGCTAGCACTGGCCCTAGCAAGAGCAGTGCTTTGCAGAATCTACCACCGGATCGGAAACGCGACCTGAGAACATCCGGCGAGAAACTCAGTGGACAAATCGAAACGAATGACTACTAAAATACCGGTGCTGCATAGCGGCGGTATGGCGGTATCTACTCGTTGGGTTTTTATATGGTCGACTAACGACAAAATTATAAGGTTCGTTTTTAAGGATTACAAGGGTGGCGTTTTTCTTCAAAATCAACATAAAATATTTATAGAATTGAACGAGTAGATGTTATATACGTGCTATGTAACGGCTATGTAAAGTACGGCGCGGCGGCTTCATGCGAAGCGAGCTTGATAGATAGGTACCACGCGCTCGACTCGTCGCACTTGTTCCGTCCAACGCATCCGTTGTAGATAAAGCATTCGCGATGTGAATAAACGACAAAATGACACAAATATGACCAAAACTAAATCTCATTATCGATACGCCTCTACATTAAAACAATGTACAGCTAATTTCGAAATACGTTATATCTAACCACACATACAGAGGAGGATTTAAAAAATAATTGTCAATAGACATGCTCTAACAAAAACTGACTTCAAATAGAAAAAAAATGATATCCCAAAACAAATTAATATACACTAAAAACAATAATCATCCAAATCGGTTGGCGTGTGAGTTATTCATCTATTTGTCGCGCACGTACTTAATGCAAATTTAAGACTTACATGGTTTTCTCATGGATACCATTATGGTACCATGGATTAAATTGGAATGGGACAATAGGGGAAGCATAAGCTTTCTAATAAAAAAGTATCATCAAAATCGATTCACCCAGTTAAAAGTTATGAGGTAACGAATATAAAAAAAAACATACAGCCGAATTGAGAACCTCCTCTTTTTTTGAAGGCGGTTAATAAGCTTGCTCGTTGTTAAATTTCATGTCAAATTGTATCAATAAAGCAATGCAGATAATAATGTAATTGATGTCAAGATTTACAAACTTTATTCACTCGCACCTTTGTAATTTATTGTTAACTTTATGGGAATGTTTGTGTAAATGTTGAAAAAGTGGCCCAAAAATTAGATATACACATATGCGTACAGACATATTATGTGTATGCATAACATTACATTACGGTAATTATTGGCTCCAGTTACCAGGTCATTATACCAGGGCAGTGTCAGTCAAACTACCCGACTACAGGCATTAAAAAAATCAAGTCTAAAAACTGTAGTCTGAACTATCTTCAAATTGAATAGCATGACAACTTAGCGTATTGTATAGTTTCATACTTGTAGCACCGGCAGGCAGTAACATAACATTATCTTTCAGAACACATGTTAGGTATATTCTGACTAAAACGCCATAGTAGTTTAGAAACATATGTTTGGGTACCTGGTATAAGTAACTAATAATTACAGATATTTATTACTGGTGGTAGGACCATTTGTGAGTCCGCGCGGGACCACCACCCTGCCTATTTCTGCCGTGAAGCAGTAATGCGTTTCGGTTTGAAGGGTGGGGCAGCCGTTGTAACTTACTCGAGACCTTAGATATCTCAAGGTGGGTGGCGCATTTACGTTGTGGATGTCATGGGCTCCAGTAACCACTTAACATCAGGTGGGCTGTGAGCTCGTCCATCCATCTAAGCAAATTTTTTTTAATTAAAAGTGAGCAATGCATCTTATTAAGTTAAATGTTCTAATCCCTTTCTTCTAATTTTAAGATTAACAATTATTAATAAGTTTAATTTATCATTGTCTGTTTAATTTCATACAAAAAAACGGATACAACGAACCGTATCCATGGTTAACTAAAATAGACTGTTTTATGTTTAATTTAGATTACGGCATCGTTGCTGTGAATGAACGGTATCGCAGCGATAAACGTTCTTTCTAAAGGCGGTTAGGGTATCAAAGTTCAACCGATAATTGGCTAACTACAGCCCGACTCTTCGTACGTACATCGTGAACATTATTATTACCGAAACACGCGGACAAATCAAATTTTGTTCTCGGTGCACAAGCAAATAAGAAAATATTAACATATATTTTGCTTAAATGCGTCGCATATCAATGTAAATAATTATAGGAGCACAAATGAATTATCAGAAAAGATATTAATAAAGAAGTCATACACTAGAAAGTGTATAACTTCTATACACTATAACGTAGAAACATTAATACATTATTTTGGCGGGACGGGTGAATGAACTCAGTTCGGTAAAACAACTGGGATTCGTTTTGATATCTTAGGAATGAGTATCAGAAACAAAATGTATCTAAAATTATCGGTTTAACTATGTCAGAACGCTGCCTTAGAATCGTAAAGCAGTCGTTTTAGAACTTAACGACGTCCATACGGCACCGCAAGCGTCCGTTGACCGATGGTAAAAAGGTCAAAATTAAATATAAAGTATCCATGCAATAAGCAGAACTAACGAGTCCATTCTAAGGGAGCTAAACATCCGAAAAAGGCTCTCTTCCATCTGCCGGGAACGTGTTATGAGCTTCTTCGGACAGATCATGAGGTCTCCCAGACATGAATTAGAGAAGCTCATAATTGCGGGTCGCATAGAGGGCAAGCGCGTCGTGGGCAAAACACCAGCCAGATGGTCAGATCTAGTAAGAGAAGTACTTAGTGGTAGTCTATACCATGCGGTCCATGCCACCCATGATCGAACACAGTGGAGGAACGTCACATGTGGTTGCGATCCTCTGCAGTGAGGGAACGATATAGAAGAAGATACAATAAGTCCCCAAGATACACCTAATTACTTTAGGTTTTGCCAATGTAATATGGAAGATATGGTGATGATATAAATGAATTGGTGTGGGCGGCCAGATAGGCCCATGGTCCAAGCGGCATTGAATGAGTACCTACTGGAACGAATAATCGTTTCGTGGTACCAGTCGAAATAGTCGTCGGTATCGTTTAGTAGGGATTCACAACATCAACCATTGAAACTGTAGCTACTTAACACAAGGTTATCCGTGAGCTTAATTGTTCTATTTACACTTTTTAATATTATTTTAGAACCTATCACATAATAAAAGTTACGACATTTGGTTAAAAAACGTGCTTATAAGGAAGTTTAGGTTTAAAACTCACATCACCTTATCTTTTATCCTACCTTATTCTTTTTTTTTTATTGCCCTTGTAGGCAGACGAGCATACGGCCCACCTGATGATGAGTGGTTACCGTCGCCCATGGACTTCAGCAATGCCAGGGGTAGACCCAAGCCGCTGCCTACCGCTTAATACTCTCCACAAGTCTCGATTGAAGAATATTCACTGGTAACCTAAGAGGTTATTTCAGCTATGCTGCGAACATTGATTTAAATATACATAATATAATAGTTATATTTCAACTCTCTGGCTGCGAATGTCACCTGATTAATTCCTACACGTTATACTTTTTTTTACAAAATCAAAATTACAAAAAGGGAGACAATTCTTACTTAGACAATGACGTTTATAGCATACCATGGTGCTTGCCATCGAGTATCAATCGAAATATAGAAATTTTAAATAGTTCATGACTATTAACTAAAGCGTTGTGTATGGAAACTCAATTAAAAAAAAACCAGACCTATTTTAAACTTTGTCACCTCATAACTTTTTTGTATCACATAAGCACAGAGTTCAGTGAACTACTCTTATCGGGATAGCTTACACATTTCCGTCAGTTAAATCTCTTTTAGCGGAGTTGTTTTACTTTTGACGCGTATAAAGATATCTATTTTAATTAGACAATGTTTTGCAACCGATGCATCGCAATGCGGCACTATCAAATTATGCTATTTCAGTGATTCATTAGATTATTCAACAACAAAGATAATTTATGTTCGTATTTGCAGGAAAATATTTGTCTAATATAAATAAGCTTTTATTGTCATTAATTTTGTCATTTATGCACGGAGAAAGGGGTGATTTCGTTATCTATACATCTATACATATAAATAAAATTGGTATGTCTGATTGTAATATTGAAATAGCCGCTTTTTACTAAATGCATATGAATATACGGTACATACAGCAAAACAACATTTTTTACAATTTTTGTCTGTCTGTCTGTTTGTTCCAGCTAATCTCTGGAATGGCTGGACCGATTTTGACGAGATTTTCACTGATAGGTAACTGATGATATAAGGAGTAGCTTAGGCTTTTTTTAGACAAGCTTCGCCCCACGACGTCACTCGTGGTACGACAATAACCATGGGTAACATCGCGAGACTCAGCTAATAATAATAAAATTTAATGTTTCCGAAGCGAAGCGAGGGCGGGTCGCTAGTTTTGAAGAATTTTTCTTCACATTGGCGATATATTATATTGATATTCATACGTAGTTTTCACTGGTGGTAGGACCTCTTGGGAGTCCGCACGGGTGGGTGCCACCGCCCCGCCTATTTCCGCCGTGAAGCAGTAATGCGTTTCGGTTCGAAGGGTGGGGTAGCCGTTGTAACTATACTGAGATCTTAGAACTTATATCTCGAGGTGGGTGGCGCATTTACGTTGTAGATGTCTATGGGCTCCAGTAACCACTTAACACCAGGTGGGCTGAGAGATCGTCCATCCATCTAAGCAATAAAAAAAAAGAAAAAAGAAGTACATAGTTACGAAAGTCATAATGAATGAGAAGATATATATGGGGTTTAAATACATGAGTTAAACACGTCAATTTTAATGTAAAATTTTGTTGTAGCATACGAGTATAAATATTTTAAGGCAAACTGCGAATAATGAAAAACATACAAAACCGACCGACAAGACTGGACCGGACCATTCAATTCCGACATCTGTTCATCACATGCTTCTAACACTAAGAGCTTCGCATTGTTTTCTACAATTTTTTAACCATAACAAATTTTTTTGAACCACGCATTAACACATATTCATTAATGTTCTACTTGAGAAATATTGGGGGATTCATTTTAACAGCCATACACAATTTACATAATATATAAACGTGCATTAAGAAAATCCTGTTCAGATTATCGTAAGTAAAATCAGATTAACAAAACTTATTCTTTCTTCATTTATTTAAGACTCTCAAATGTTTCACTTCTAAAGTCAGAAATAGGTAGGATGGTGCTATTTTTACGACCCGACGTTGTTCCTTCATTGTAGAAAATCGCTCGTGAATACAATACAACGGTAGGTATATAATACATACCTATAATTGTAAACATCGGTATGGAATTCTATAACGGTGGTCCCGCTTTTCAAACTGTAATGCCGGCCACTGACAATACGGCCACGGCGCAAATATTCGTACATTGTACGAATGTTTGCGCGCATGTGAAGGGCCGTCAAACATTCATTCGCAAACCTAGCGGCTGTGCAAATGGGTTCGCATACTCAATTTGCGAACCCGTTTGCGCTTCCTCCTACACTTGTTTACGAATGTCTCACGATTTTCTCCACCTTTTTAATTCGTCAATAGAACATTGAAGAGAAAAAGAGTTTTTAATTCTTTCCCAGACATCATTAACAGCATTGCTGTTTTTATGGGATTTCTTTTGATGAAGATACGCTACAAAGTAGACGTCACGAACTATGAAAATGGCGTATAGTATACGTCCGTTACCTTCGCAATCGTCGGCGCAACTGGGCAAGCGAATGTGTGGGAGACTACGCGAAGGTTCGAGGTTCGCGCGCTTTGATGTCTGTTAAAAAACCGACACAGCTTGGAAAACCACGAATGCAGCGAAAACTTTGCATAATCATTCGCAAATGTCGTCCTACACTTGTGGGTTTGCGTATTCGTGCGCATGTGAGTGACCGGTGTAACGCTTGGCAACTTCCCGACAGAAAAATTTAGGATGATGGTGGACTGACCCGTGTGGATTCACTATACGTCTCAAAAACCAACAATAGTCTCAAAAATAGTTTCTACATTTGTACATTGGTAAGAAAGTGGTAAGAAAGTAATGACGAATTATTATTATTGTTGAAATTTACGAATACATTTCTTTTAATTAATAATGTTAAACATAAACACTTAACATGCCTTTGTCAATTTGTATGCGCGCATTCACTCTACAGTAGCTCAGTCCGTGACCGTGCCGCGTTTATTCTCGGTAGACTCTACCCCATGATCTGTAAGCGGAGTAAAATGCCCCTTCGGAACAAGGTGACACTTTACAAAACTTGCATAAGGCCCGTCATGACTTACGCGAGTGTGGTGTTCGCTCACACGGCCCGCACACACATAGACACCCTCCAATCTTTACAATCCCGCTTTTGCAGGTTAGCCGTCGGAGCTCCGTGGTTCGTGAGGAACGTTGACCTACACGACGACCTGAGCCTCGAATCTATCCAGAAATACATGAAGTCAGCGTCGGAACGGTACTTCGATAAGGCTATGCGTCATGATAATCGTCTTATCGTTGCCGTCGCTGACTACTCCCCGAATACTGATCACGCAGGAGCCAGTCACCGTCGACGCCCTAGACACGTCCTTACGGATCCATCAGAGCCAATAACCTTTGCATTAGACGCCTTCAGCTCTAACACTAGGAGCAGGCTTAGGGACCTCGGTAACCGTACTCGTCTAACTCGACAAAGAGTTCGCCGTGCAACTTAACCCATGAATCAGCTCGCTGAGTTTCTCGCCGGATCTTCTCAGCGGGTCGCGATTCCAATCCGGTAGTAGATTCATTCGCGAACCAGCTACTCTTGAGCTGTTAGATCTCCTTCGGAGACGCTCGAATTGCTGTTAGCAAATCCCACCCCTCCTGGCTAAGCCTTTGCTTGCCCACTTGTCCTGGTGAAACTGGAAAGGCAACCGGGCCACCAGTAATCCTTCAATCATAAAAAAAAAATCTACAGTAGCGTGGCTATTTTGATGTTGTTTTCGGTGATTTATACGTAGGTATAGTTCAAGCTAGAGTAAAAGTTAGGGTTCGTGAGACACACCACCATTGCTCCACCATAAATGCTATATCGGTACTTAACAGTTGGAGACGTTTTCTTTTAGTGCTCGTGTAATAAGTAGTAAGGCTGTACATTGCTTTTCACTCCAAACTGGGTACGCACATCTTTTCATCGTGTTTTAATTTATTTTAAATAAATATAGAACCAATTACTAGTGCGCCTGATAGTGTGAATGATCCACGCCTCTGCAGGTAGAGTACGAGTGACGCGGGGAGTACTTTTTTTTCTTATCTATTTTTCTGGTAGCCTAAGGGGCTATACCAGCTAGGCCCGGACAGATAGGTGAGCTCACGTGGCTCAATCCGGAGAGTTGCTAACACTGACCCTAGCAAGAGCCGTGCTTCGCAGGATCTACCACAGGATCGGAAACGCGACCCACTGAGAAGATCCGGCGAGAAACTCAGTGGGCTACGCGTGGAGTACCTACCTGCGCTGTGCGTGGTGCGTGGCACGGAGCACGTCGTGTGCGGCCCGCAGCCGCGCCTCCCACGGACCACACGCCTCGGGACTGCCGCCACCGCTCACGGAACATACTATCCACTGCTGTTCTTCCACCTGACAGTAACAATGCGTCATGATGACATTTCTACATCATAAACGGACCACCGAGCACTGATATTAAAATTATCATCATAGTTACAAATCTTTTTAATCAATCCATAATTTATCAATCTATACTCTACGTACATTTTTATAAATGTGATTTTGTTGTTGTTGTTTGTATGTCCTTCTTTAAATTCGAAACGAAGCTGTTGCTTCGTGATTGTCATGATTTTTAAAGTTATACAAATATTAGGTCAGGAGTCTAACACGGGCTACCATTTATCCCGAAAAAAAAAAATTGTTTCCGCGGGAAGCTACACTGACATTTTTCCGTGACACGCAGGCGAAACCATGGGTAACCACTAGTAAATCATAAATCACGAAATAAAAAGTGATGACGATTTTTTACACCAATCAGAAAGAATGATGTCATATGTGACTAATCGCTGAGTATTTTTTATAAACAATTTTTGCCTCGTCTTTGTGTACTTGTGACTTTTGTTGAAGTAGTCGTATATTAAATGTATATTTTTTTTAGTTCAGTTATTAAATTTGATTACCATTTTAATTTTTGAGATTAAAAAAACATACCTTATTCATTATCTCCTTGAAGTCTTTAACAATAGGTGTGGGTCGTTTTGTTTTGTCACTATAATATATGATAGACAGCCGAGCTCCGGCGTACCAAATCTCTAGTTCATTTAAAGCGCTTCGAATAGCTGATTCGCTCGTAGCTGTCGTGCAAATTTTCTGTTGAAACCATTGAATGAACACTTTAGACACATTAAGATCTTATAAAAAAAAAATTAACAATCATTTTTAAATTTCGAATGTTTTATAATAACTGTCAAATTGAAAGCACGTGTCAATTTTTACCAAACGTGACGGGGCGCTCATCAGGTACATAAGGTTAAACGCTAAGAGCCCACAGAAGCCATAACTTGAATGTCTTTGACATACGTTGACACATCGTTCAAAACACGCATTTTAAATTAGAAAAAAAAATATTATTGATTCACACTTTATTTCACTTTGGAAGTTGATTGTGAATCTATAATAGGTACATAATTACTAACAAAGTTGGTACTTATTAACTATGTACCCTTGGCACTACCTGCCTGATCAACACGATTGTCACAGATTTTTGCATCCTTCTTAGCTATTGGACTCAATTCTTTATTATTCACATAAATGTCATAAAACAATGGTTTCCCTCATCGTCAAACCTAAAAATGTCCCTTTTTCAAATAGAATTTATATGCAATCTTGTAAACGGGTTTGAAATTGTTTATGTAAATAAAGAGAGATCCTCGAAGTCATGATTACGGATGAAAGTACGTTTAAATTTTACCTGCAACTCTTTTATATGTTTCTTAATATTCGAAGCGGCAATGAGGAAGTCTTTAAGTTTCAACGTATCAGATTTCTTGTACTCCATCTCCAGTAAATTGAATACTTCGCGCCAATGACGGTCCGTGAAATCATTACCACGTAGATATTTCAACAGAGGTGTTATATCCTGTGTATCATTTAATTACTTTTTTTTAAATCCACATAGAATTATTTTAAGCAAGATATTGGAAACAGCGTACTATTACAAAATTTCCTGGAACTTATACTACCTATTTACCTAATATGTTTCACCTACATGTATATTTCTATTTTACCTCGTCCTTTACTTAAAAATATTACTGATCCCTACTATCAGTAATATTGAGAGCCTTGAGAGCCCACATGGGTAAGTACTAGGTACTACCCTGCCTATTTCTGCGGTGAAACAGTAATGCGTTTCGGTTTGAAGGGTAGAGCAGTCGTTATACTGTAAAACCTGAGACTTAGAACTCATGTCTCAAGGAGGGTCACGGCATTTTCGTTGATGAAGTCTATGGGCTCCGGTGACCACTTAACACTAGATGAGCCGTGCGGTCGTCCACCAATTTTAGGAATAATAATAATAATATATTTATATATAATATACATAATATATACGAGTAGTCTAACTATTCGTCTTCTTATTAGGTATTAAACTGATGAAAAAATATCATACATTTAATGATTGGCTGAATCATTTCTTGGAAGTAAAGACAAGGCACAATAAGGTCCGTGCATGATGTAATAGTTCTTTGAGTCCATACAGATACCTCACATTACTCTAAAGCCTCAGGTCAATATTAAGTCTTCACAAATGCTCCCAACTTCGGGTATAACTTTTATGTGTTCAACAGCATTCATAAAAGTGTTTGAAAATAACTTTATGGCTTGTGCATATTTGAGAGCCAGATGTTGATGACATTACTACGCGAACGCTCATTTGGTAACGCATATGTTTGTCATTAGAATATTAACAAAACGTATTCGTATATTATTAGCGTATGGAATCAAAATAGCATACGTTATGCATGTATTAAAATCATTACGTATAATATTCTCTTGGAATTTCAATAGATACAATGATTGAAAATATTTACGACTAATCTTTAAAAGAAATCTGTGAATTCATAAATAATTGCTTAGCATTCGATACGTCAGCACTTGGCAATTATCATAATTATTTATTGTCAAATATGCGTTAAATACATTTATCTTATGTCATGTGTTCTTATCTCAATTTTTTGTCGGGTATTACAATCTGTGCCCTTATTGTTTCGGTCCTATTTTTTTTTTAAAAGCGATGATAATATGAAGAATGAGGCCGGCATTTTTTTACATTTAGATCGTAATTCAAAACAAATAGTGTCATTTGCTGGAGACCGAAATATGATCTAAGATATAGACATAGTAATATTATATTTATAAGAGTATGCTTGGTCGACACCTTTGCCGAGTTATAACTGTTTATCTAGAGCTTGCTAAACCGTTACAAACTATAACTTAGCAAGGGGAAGAAAATATCCGCAGGTGGTCCGTTACATTCTAAAATGTACCATATGTTCGTTACGAGCACCGTTACCGACCGTCGACTTTTTTTTAATGATTGAAGGATTACTGGTGGCCCGGAGGCTTTTCCAGTTTCACAAAGACAGGTGGGCGAACAAAGGCTCAGCCAGGAGGGGGGACCGTCTACTGCGTGTTGACGGTAGGATGATAAAACCTTCTAACGCATGGAGTCAGACAGACTGATCGAGTCTCTACTGGATGCCAATTACTGTCACTTGACATCAATATTTTATTAAATATTACGACTACACTCAATGGTTATTAACAGTATTTTAGGTACATTATCTATGTAAATATAATCAATGGGTATCGTTTTTACAACTATTTATGTGGAAGCTTATAATTGACCTTAACGTTCCCAATTAATCTCGAACTAGCTACACGTTTCAATCACATATTATTTATTGAATAAATATTTTTTAGCTACAATGGAAGATACAATCGTTTAATATATATTATACTAAGCGTTGACATGAATTGTTTTGTTACAAACAATACATTTTCTTTATACGACTATAAACTTATGGTAATGCAACGCGCTTTAGTTTATACATCAATATTAACACTATCTCTTGTAAAATTATCTCTATGGGCTTCTCCACTTTACAGTAAAATGGCACAGTCATTTCTTGATCCATATCCGATCTTGTAGATCGAATGGTAAACAGTCGACGTCGCCCTAAACACGTCACTACGGACCCTCCCGATCCATTAACGGTGCTTTTAGGTACCTCAAGCACTGGTCACCGTTCTCGTCGAACTCTTCGCTTGCGACAAAGGGCTCAACGAGTGAATTAACCCATAGACAGACCCACTGAGTTTCTCGCCGGATCTTTTCAGTGGGTTGCGTTTCCGATCCGGTGGTAGATTCTGCGAAGCATTGCTCTTGCTAGGGCCAGTGTTAGCAACACTCTCGGTTTGAGCCCCGCGAGCTCACCTACGCGTCAAGGAGAAGCTGAAATAGCCTCTCGAGGCTATCAGCATAGGTAGAAAAAAATCTTGATAATGACTACTTTGTTCCCCACTGACTAATTGAGAAGCTTATTCATTGCTTATAAAATGTTCATTGTATTAAAAAAAAAAAAACTCTTGAGAACACGTTTTAATTTTTTTTATTGCTTAAATGGGGAGATGAGCTCACAGCCCACCTGGTTTTAAGTGGTTGCTGGAGCTCATAGACATCTACAACGTAAATGCGCACCGTAAATGCTACAACGTAATTGAAATACTAATGAAGTGAGGTATTCTGTTTGTAAAATAAGTCAAAGAACTTGCGAAGTCGAGATTTACGTGAGATCGTCCACCCATTTAAGCAATAAAAAAAAAAACACATGTGGCACTCGGAGACTGCCGCGGTAAAGCTATTGCATAGCATTTTTTATCAACTTTTGCAATTATAATTATAATAATTTAATATTAAAACAATAATAAAATAAGACCACGCTATATTTATAAACATTAACAAAAGAAAAAGATTAGCTGTCCCCTTCACACTCAAGCTAGACCGCGCGAGAGAGAGATGGGCAGACTTTTCATGATGCGCATGCAGTGTGACGTCACGCCTCACGCTTAATTACAAACACTACACAAGCGCAACGTGTGAATATGTTGAACGCAAGCTACATGGTGGCGGAGTGGAGTTGTTAGGTTTGATTTTCGTTACGGAATTTCTTGACTCGGTCGCCGCGCTCAAAGCCCGCGGTAAAAGCTTAAAAACAATAAACGATTGTTTATCTTACCGAATATCTATCAAGTTCTTGTTGTATGAACAATGTAACGACGGTGTATGGCTCCAAGCGCGTGCTCCATTTCATCGTAAACTCGTCGAGTAAATGTAATTTCTTCTGAAATACTATCCAGCTTTGTTCGGCAATTGACTCGTATTCTATGACAAAACCAATCACTCATTATTGTGATGTTCAACCGAATTTAATATTAAATTTAAATGAATACTAAAAGAAGGTAGTTAAGGTAGGTTGTTAGGTAGATAGTGCTGGGGAGTCGTTTAGTACGGTACGACACTAAAACTCCTTAGGCCCGCTGTCTGCTCCCAACATCTGCAGAACCTCAAGTTTCACATCTCCGGCGCGCCCTCTAGGCGCCGGGACCTCATAGGAGGTTCGACCCCCAACTCGGAAATAAAGTAGTTAGGGAGGTAGTTCCTGAAGATCATTTTCGCTAATTTTTGAGTCAATATACTTTGTAACGTGAACACCGCGATTTGTCTTAAAATTCGAAATCAAAATGGCATACGCATTAATACACCAGGTGTTTTTTTTTTCATAGGAAAAAATCGCCGGATTCCCACCCGCGCGGCAGTATATGGGAGTTGAACCTCATTAAAAACTCCTGCCGCTCACTGCCGGTGCCCTACCCCGGACAGCGGGACAGGGTTGAAGCAGAGCATATTACATCCAGCCCGCCGAGTATACCAGCTAACGGAACTTTCAATTTACCTACCATGACAGCGGCGCCGACCCGTGCGGGCTCACTTGTTCTACCATAAGTACTTTTACATCCGAATTAGTGGTAGAATTTGGTAAAAATGAGTTAGGCAAACGTTTATTAACAACACACCTTATGTCTTGCAGTAATCGAATTATGTAGGTCACGAACTTGTCCGCTCATCTAAAGTAATCAAAATATCTCATACCTTCATTGAATTTTTCAAAAACAGTCCATAGTGTCTCGTAGTTTTCAAACAATTTGTCACCCTGTTGCCAGACGTCAGCAATATCTGTTTTCATATTGAATTTTTCGCACTCTTTCCTACAAGTGAAACATTGTGCGCCTAATTACTTTGGTTATGCTATTCCAACTACGCCCGGTTTGGTAGGAGAGCTTACGGACTCAATGTGAGAGAATTTGCTAGCACCAGCCCTAGCAAGAGCAGTGCTTCGCTGAATCTACCACTGGATTAGAATGGCGACCCACTGAGAAAAACACCACATAATAAAATTACTACACTGTAAGATTAGATCCGAGTTAGTCTGTTATAAAATGTTTAACATGACGTTGCAACCAAAACGAAGTTTATTAAAATTACTTTTACGATTTGATCTCATGTTTATTATATTCAATTCAACATACTTTACTATTATGTGAATAATCATCCGTGACCACAAAAATATTAGTACTATATACATATTCGAAACATCATTTTTTACGGTTAGGGAGTATTGCAAGCCCGTACCGATAGGTAAAGCCATTATTTCAAGTAAGAGATAACCGATATACTATACAAATGAAACTTAGATCTCGTATCCGAAGATGAATAGCGGTATTCGTATTACGGATTACGGTTACGATGATTACGGATTCCTTTAACCACTCAATACCAGGTGGGTCATGGGTTAATTAACTCATCTATGATATAATCACTACATAGTATAAAACAAAGTCGCTTCCTCTGTCCCTATATCCCTATGTATGCTTAAATCTTTAAAACTACGCAACGGATTTCGATGCGGTTTTTTTAATAGATAGAGTGATTGAAGAGAAAGGTTTATATATATAATAACATCCATTAAATAGGGGAGAAATACTGTTACTTTTGAGGTTTCTAATGTGATGTCGTAAATAATCAATAATAAAATTTCATGTTTTCGAAGCGAAGCGAGGGCGGGTCGCTAGTAATGAAATAAATAAACAAAAACTTACACGAGTTCTTCTCTATCGGTGATAAACTTTTTCCAACTAGTAATAGCATCAAAAACAGTGCGACATCGGTCGACCATTTCTTCGTAGTGTACACCGTGTGCCGCGTCTAAGCGTGCCTTGGATTGTGTCCAACGGGAGACAAACGCTTCCACGCTTGTGTTCAAGTTTTCCCATTCACCATTCAAGCTGGCCTTTACAATTTCAGCCTAACGACCAAAAAAAACGAAAATCAGCTAATTTGATCAATAGCTTGGCAGTCTCACTCTTAAACACGGATAAACGTTTAACTGTCGCTAAACAATGTCGAAGTAATTGGAAAATTTTCAGCCGGACCTGCTTCAAGCATTATTCACAAGAGGCAAAGTGACTGTATTGGACAGAGCTCATTGGTGGACATAAACATGGTCAACTTGTGGACATTAAATGGATGAAGTATGATTTACGAGCTTGGCTTTATTATTTGTGAAAAATGTGATGTGTTTCAAATCAAGTATGAAAAATTGACATGTCCATGTGAACTTTGTACAGATTAGTGTAAAGTTATGCTTTAATTAAAATAATTATTTTACCTGATTTTCAAACATTTGTTGATGATTGAGCATTAGCTCTCGCGTCTTCTGCCACTCCTTTATAGTCCCGTCAATTGACGTATCACCGCCCCACGTCCGCAGCATGTTCCCTTTCTTTTTGAGAGCTGCAACTATCTTCTCCATCTGACAAGAGATTCTTTGGTTACACGGATTTTTGGATGAGTCTTTACCACCTCTTAGCAAATACTTGAGACATTACCGGAACTAATAGACATCACAAAGTTTACTCCGAGATCCACTATGAAATTGAGTTCAATAATGACTCTCAAATATAAAACAGTTTAGAACCTTTTCCCTTTGTGTTTTTCAAACGACATTATTTTTCTTTAATAGCTATAGACGGATTTAGTGTTGCCAATAAAAAAATGGAATTATCTTTTCCCATCTTTATAAAAAAACTATCTATAACGAAAAAATATATAAAATAAAATAAAAATATTATTTATTACTTCAACGAGTTGACAGCCCAGCTGGTGTTAGGTGATTAGCAGAACTCATAGATACTCATAGAGACTCATATCAGAAACGTTAATTCCGCGACCAAACTTCAGACACGAGTTCTTAGTCTCTGTTCTATAATACAACGGCTATCGTTCAAACCGAAACGTGTTACTTATTCGTCGCAGAAATAGGCCGAGGAAACCACCCCACTTATCCGTGCGTGGGGTCCATAAGACGTCAGTTGATTAGTTTTTGCGAGTATAATTTTTATTAATCGATATTATTCCTTCACAGTGGAAGTCATTCGTGAACATTATGTTAAGTACGTATGTCATTGGAACAATTGGTACCTGTCTGGGAAATTCGAACATCAGCACACGTTTTTAGTTCACGACAACTTCAAATTGATTGACGAGCACTATTAAATACAAAATATGTATATACATAATATTATTATATTAATATAAGTTACCTCGGGCATTTTTTCTTGCAAGGCTTGCTGTTTCGCACTCAGTTCGGTCAACTCTTTAGAGTTGTTTGGTAGCGTTTTATTGTTCAATATGACAGTGACGTTGGCAACGAAAGCATCGACTTCCGAGGCATCAGTACGACAGCTAGTTTGAAGGGACGATATCAGACAAGCCCACAAGGTGCGCGCCTGCGCTTCAAACTCCCGCCGCAAGGTCGCCGTGCCCACCGACAACCATTCGATTTTCTCGTCGTCACTGGAAAGTTACAATACTTGGCAACTCGGTATTCGTCAAAATAATTATCTATACTAATATATACTAATATTATAAAGCTGAAAAGTTTGTTTGTTTGAACGCGCTAATCTCAGGAACTACTGGTCCGATTTGAAAAAATCTTTCAGTGCTAGATAGCCCATTTATCGAGGAATATAACATCACGCTAAGAACAATACAAGCGGAGCACCAAGAAAGAATGTTTCAAAATCGTTTTTTTTTCCCTTTTCAGAGCTTCCGCTGCGTGCGCTGCAGAAACGGTTAAAGTTTCGCTAAAATAATGTATGACAGAATTGTTCCTCTTTAAAAGATCTAAAAAAAAAACCGCGACAGCATATGTCTATATGCTAAAGTTGGCTCATTATATATAACATTTTTTGTGCTAACCAAATTTGTTCTAAAGTAAAGCATTATTTGTGGACTATTCCACGCGGACGAAGTCGCGGGCAAAAGCTAGTTTATAAATAATTTCAACTAAATATAAATCTTTCTCACAGCTCTCTAAAGCTCGGTCGATGAATTCCACAAAAAAGGCTGAGATCGATGTACATTAAATTCTGTTATTGATTTAAGATATTCGAGCATGTGCTTTTCAAAACAAGTAATTATTTTTGTGTACTTGTATTTTAATACAGTCAACGCTATCTATTGCCTCAGTTCGGAAATTAAAGTTTTTTACTAAATTCGTCGCATGATTGGTTTGAGTAATGTTTTCGGCATATTAAATTAATTGAAGTCCTGAATAACTCGATGTATGTGTCATGTGATGTATGTCGCACAGTAAACTCGAATCATACTAGTCGAACTTGCGTAATAGTGTAACCAATCTGGTTCCAATCAACCAACCAGTATCTCGTAGTTTTAAAAAAAAATTACACGGTCCCAACTTACAAGGTCATCTTGGCAATGGCTTGTCCATAGGCCTTGCAGGCTTTGAAGTTGAGCTCCCAGTGCTCGGGCTCGGCGAGCGAGTGCGTGCACAGCGCGCGCAGGTCGGGCACGCACGCCAGCGCCGCGCGCCGCGTCCACTGCCGCCCGCACTGCTCCAACGACGACAACACCTGCTCCAGTTTCTTCACGGCTTTGTTCCCCAGCCAGCTATGTCTGTACATTCAAGTTATACCTAATAGTAATGTACAAAGAGAGCACTGCAAGTGATGAGAGAAATTAAGAGATGCTTCTAAACCGTATCTTGTTCATTAATGATACGGAAACTATGGGATTAAAGTATCAAATTATTTGTGATTCGTTTTGATTTTCAAAGCTGCAATCTCATTTGTCTTAATGTTATTTGTTTATTTAAGAACCTATGGTAGAATTTACAGTAGAACATATTGTATAAAAATACTGAATATTAAATGTACTTTAACGGTGACTCTCTACTAACAATCTAGGCACGCATTGAATAAAGATTAATCAGAAAAATAAAACCATAGTGTTGTCTGCGGCCTTCATGAGTCGCAGACGTAAGTTAATGCAATTTTTTTTTTTGTTTAATAGTAATAGTAGTGCCCTAAAATCCATGTTTCATCGATCTTCAAAACGGTCTAACTTGGAGAATATGAGCATTAGCTCGAGGCGATTATTATACAATACTTACTTAACTTTTTACTGGTGGTAGGACCTCTTGTGAGTCCGCACGGGTAGGTACAACCGCCCCGCCTATTTCTGCCGTGAAGCAGTAATGCGTTTCGGTTTGAAGGGTGGGGCAGCCGTTGTAACTATACTGAGACCTTGGAACTTATATCTCAAGGTATGTGGCGTATTTACATTGTAGATGTCTATGGGTTCCAGTAACCACTTAACACCAGGTGGGCTGTGAGCTCGTCCACTCACCTAGGCAATAAAAAAAAAAAAAAAAACTTACTTATCTACGATATCGGCGAATATGGATTGTCCCTCGGTGATGTTATTCTGTACGCCGACGAACTGCGCCGGCAACGACACGAGACGCCGCAGTTGATGGTAATGTTGGACGCGTATTTCCTCGATGGGCGGCTGTACTCGTATCTTATGCCCTCTAAATGAAAAACATGCTTATAGTATTATACCGTAATGTTACGATAAGAAGAAAGTATTTGTAAAAAACTAGCTGACCCGACAGACTTCGTAGTGCCTCAATCGATAAATAAAATACCTAAGCTTTTGTATAAAACAAACTTAAAATAAAACAAAAGGAATCCGTCCGATGGGGGACACATCAAAGGAAAACAAAATTGTTATTTTTATTTAATTCCCATTTTCATTTTCATATTTATCTACATTTTAAGCCTTCTCTGGACTTCCACAAATAATTCAAGGCCAAAATTAGCCAAATCGGTCCAGCCGTTCTCGAGTTTTAGCGAGACTAACGAACAGCAATTCATTTTTATATACACAGATAGAAGATAGAAGATACTTAAAAAGTACGAAAATAACTCAACAGATGTCGCTGTTTGTGGTTTGATAAGAATGCAGTTAGAAAAAAAATAAACAGATCTAGCTAATACTTAACATTTACTCACCGTAAGACCAAGTCAACTTTAATATGCGCAAAGTGTTTATCTAGTGAGAGCAACGTCTTTATATATTGGCACTCCAAGGCTTTATACAGTTGCCAGTCCCAATGTGATCTCCAAAGTTCAGTGTTTCTATAACCGTTCCCTTCTACCGTTTCTATGATACTACGTATGTCTTTGACCCCTTTCTTCCATTCAGACAGTTTTGCCAATAATTCGGTGTTGATTAGTTTCATAACTATTTCTTTGATGGCCATATGTTGACTAGTCAAATAAGTGTTCTAGAAAGGAGAGAAAATTTCATGAAAAGTGACATTTCAATAAAGAAACAAACCAAGAATTTTATTAAAAGAAACAACTACAATACGTTTCAATGTAAGAATAGATTTCATTGAAATGATAGTTAAATTTAATCATTTATGTAACTATAGTAAATCACTGATCCGATTTTACCTGCCCTTCCAGCTTCAAGACCATCTTCTTAAGTTTTTCGGTGTAGTTCGCCAATTGTTCAACGTCGTCCCAGTACACGGTTTTCTGGTCTTGCACTATTGCAGACAGGTCCAGAGCCGCTTGCAGCATCATGGGTTTAGTGGAGGGAATCATTCGTTCGCCCAACGTATTGTGAAATGAAGCCACCTGAAGTTAATAAGTTGATAGTGAAAATCGAATAACAAATAGTAAGAATCATGACCCATTTATACAAGTTTATAGAAACAGATTTAATGTCGCCATTGACTTTGGAGCGCCCCTAACTTATACTGCACTAGTGTATTCGAGCGGTGCGACTAACTATATAAAAAAAAGGTGTAATATTTTGAGGAATGCACAAGACTCCGTCTCATAAGTAATCGGTGTATTTTCTACGTGATATTTTACGCTTAGCGATCCCCACAGTCGCCACAAGTGTTAACCTCACTACCTTTACCAATACGTATAGTAGTAACACACAGATACAGCTCACTGAGTTTCTCGCCGGATATTCTCAGTGGGTCGCGATTCCGATCCGATGGTGAACTCAGCGAAGCGTTTCTCTTGCTGGGGCAGATGTTATAGTAATCGGCACGAGTCGTGAGCTCTCGACTAAAGAGTGGAGGGCCGTCTGTGCATCGTACACATAGGGTCAAAATAAATAGTTTGCTCATGTATTTAATATATATATTTTTATAATCAAACTAACTTCGTTCAATTTGGAATTTAAAAATGTATTAATACATAATTTTATACTAGTTTTGCCCGGGGTTTCGTCCATATTATAGTCAGAAATAACTCTATTATTAACCGACTTCCAAACGGTTATCAATTCATCCCTTTTTTTCGGCAGAACAGGTATGTCGTCGTGTTTTTACTGCCAATTTGCGTGAGCTCGCCTCGGTGAAATCAGAATAGGCTATTGGTAATTAGATAGGAAAAAATCCTATAGTACAACAGGTTTATAAGACTATAATATTATTTTTTTATGAATTCCTTGATCTAAATATTATATATGTATATATTTTAATGCTAGAATTTTATTATATATTTTAAGTATCGACGTCCGGTATGTTTAGGAAACAGGTTGTCTCTCGACATAGGCCTCCTTTTATGTCTTCAACAAATATATATATACATATATATATAATATTTAAATATAAGTATTGTAAATTTTAACAGCAATAAAGGCTTATTATTATTATTAATTCCTTGATAGACACTTGATTGACGTCGACAATGTCAGGTAGGCGGTCAAGCGAGCGCCTACTAAACTTCACGTAAATGTCTTCACGAGTGCAAGGCTTACAAATCAGCTAGTGCGAGGAGGTACCTGCTGCAGGGCGCGCGCGTGCGCGAGGGCGGCGGGGGCTGCGGGCGGCGCGGGGAGGGCGGCGGGCGGCGCGAGTCCGAGCGCGGCGAGCGCGCGACCCTCCAGCTCGGCCCACACCAGCCGCGGGTTAAAATTCACTACCATCATCTTGTTCGGCCCGCTGAACTCCACTACAGGCTTGTCGGTGGACATTTGAAGCGAACCGTTCTTTGCTTGAGCCTGTAAGCCACCCATTAGTGTCTAAATTACTTTTGTGTTTCTACAATTTGAATATGCAATTTCGAAAAGGGTACATCTCTGAAAATGTCAAAATGTTCAGGAAATGAAAAAAAAGCTTATTATTTTCTAAAGCAGTGTAAAATTTATAATATTAACTTTTGAGATATATCTTAGTGTTAATTAGCAATTGAAAATTACTGGAATTATTATAAAATGGGTGTAGGTAAGCCTCAAAACTATATGTATATGAAAAAACGTATATGACAAAATATGCGACATGTGCCCTTTTCGAAATTGCGTATTCATTTATATTAATTCCAAACTGTTAACTACTGTAGCTGTTAACTTTTTGAATCGAACATTCACTGTTACCGCAGGATATAAATTTATAATTAACTAGCTGTACCCGCCCGCTTCGCTGGGCATTTAAAATTAACATTATTATTTCTCACCCCCACAAACATTCTCATCATTAGCGCCCCCGCAACTGGTGTAGGGAGACCAACACCTATATAAATATTAGCCTATCCATTAAGCACATGTATTTTCTACATGGATACCAAGTTTCAAGACAATCGGATGCATGGTTCAGTAGTTATAACAGAACATCCGTAAAAAATACTGTAGATTTATATATAAGTATAGATATAGATATTACCTATACGGTTTATTCACGCATTTATAATTTTCGTTTTGTAAAATTCGTGTTTAAGAAATATTCTTGTATTACAATCGACCAATTATTTTATTTTTACCTGTAGCTCTCTGCACCATTCTTCATGTAGCTGAATATACATTTCTTTTAGATCTTTTAACAATTGTGTGGCCAAGTTTGTCAACTCTGAACAACCGGAGAATTCGCTCAAATGTTTGTCAGCACATATTTTGATTTCTTTTACCTGAAATGTTTGAACGAATCTCATAGTTATACGCAGTTTAAGTTTTTTTTTGTATTATGGGCTTAACTAAAAGAACAAATACAGGGTGGCTGACGACAATTTGTAAAAAAATAAGAATGTGGGACAGCAAAGATTTTAAAACGTCTCCATTTAACCAATAAACAGATAATCAAATGTATGTATGGTCCAACTAAAATGTTTTTATAATGTAGTCTGGAAAGTGTTCATAAAACTGTCATAAAATCCACATATTAGCACATTCATTGAGAATTCTTGGTTTGGACGTAAAATGAAGAAGAATAAATGTCAAAGTTTTGTTGTTATTAGTTCAATAAAGACAACAAAGTTTATAGTTCAACGCTTAAAGACAAACGGAAGGCTGAAATAGGGATGGACGGATGTGTTTAGTGTGCTTAGTGCGAGTTTTTTAACGTTCTCGATAGCGTAAAAGTTAGCTCATATTTGTATGGAATGGGATTGTTTGCCTACGTTTACCGCGAGGGGCGCTGTTCCAACTGCATACAAAATTAACTTTTACGCTATCGAGAACGTTAAGAAACTCACACTAAGCACACTGTAAAGTCTGACTTAGGATTGCGTGGTACGATAAACCATGCTGTGATACAAATAAATAGATGATTAATATTAAGACAAAAGTGTGCAGAGAATTTAAACCTTGTAGATAATGTACCTTAGCTTCCATTTGCTTCGCCCACTGCACTCGGTGTACTAACGGCGACATTTCCGGCGGCTGATACATTTTAACATCCGTTTCATCAGAATCAATCTGATTTTTTATATCTTTCAACATCGCTACTAGTGACGTTGCAAATATTTCCAGCTCATTATTCAAAGTCTGTTTCACGTAAGGTCGTTCTATTAAAGCTTCATATCTCAGAAATTCATACAACATCTATTGAAAGATAAATACAATCATTTATAAAGTTTTGTATTAATTTAAAGAGGAATTTGTGCTTAATTTTGTAAAGCCTATATATAAAATAGAACGCACAGCCACTGACTTTTTGTTTTCCTACCTATTCCGATAGCTTTGAGAGGCTATTTCAGCTTCTCCTTGACGTGTAGGTGAGCTCACGGGGCTCAAACCGGGAGTGTTGTTAACACACTTCACAGAATCTATCACCGGATCGGAAACGCGACCCACTGAGAAGATCCGGCGAGAAACTCAGTGGGCTGTGTCTATGGGTTAAATCACTGACTGATATTCGAACAACATCTGGCCTAAATGAGCGTACGGTGTTGAGAGGCCAAATCCCTAACTAAAAAGTAGATAATACAATAGAAAAGGCAAAAAATAATTTAATTAAATAAATGAGAAAACACCTTTATCAAAGTAACAAACAAAGTCAAGAAATAGTGGGCTAGTTACATGCTAAAATATATTTTGAAAACTAGAAAAGAACGTTTTAGCAATGATACGTGTGATTTTCCAGTATAAGACGCATTGAAGCTGGTGAAAATTATGTTGACTTCCTCATTACATAGGTGTATAATATATGGATCAAGATAATAAAACTATGTAAAATAGATAAGTCCGTATGCGTTAAAATAAAAATGCACAGTAATTATTAAAACATTTAACTGAGCGGGAATATACACTTGAAAGTAGAACCTTTGCTCCCGGCATGATAAAATATAATTTTAGTGATTAAGATCGAATTGGACATATCTTGTTTTGTTGTTAATTATCTTACTTGTTTAGTGGACGTATTGTGAAGTCTTGGCTTCAGTTTTTCAGCCACTTTAACTTCAACTTGCCGTAAACTCGTGGAGAATAAAGAAACGGCCGCTTGCCATGCAGGGTTAGGGCCGTTGCACGACCATACGTTGACACCTACATATATTTAAACATGCATCTTTACATTTTTTCATATAATCGTGTAATTAATTAGCTTTTTATCATCAATAATTAATCAAACACCTAGTATTTGCTTATCAGTGCAGAATGCAGTTATTTTTATTTGTCATGGAATAATTGTTTATCTTGAAAATCTTTACATGAAAAACATCGATTCGGATCAAAATTACGACAATGGTCAGCGAACATATAGTACAATAATTATGAAGCCCAAGCTTACCTAAAACAATGACTTACTTTGAAACGGTGAAAGCAGTTGGTTTACCCGTAGATCATTTTTTTCATTGCTCGAAAGTAACTTATTAAGTTGACTGTACACAGATTTAATTTCATACACCTGAAAAAATTATCAATGAATCAGTGCTCATAAAAAAAAGTTCCTCAAAATTTGCCTCAAATCTAAAATGTCCACGTGAGTAGGCCAGTGAGTATGAGTGAGTATCCCAGTATTTTGGGATCAAAGTCGCATCCTCGTTAATATCGACAGTAGAAAACTAGCTTCCGAGCTGCATACCCATCTAAATCATTAATTGCTACTTTGCTGAATGATTTGTTAATTGACTTCCATGAGGAAACGGGTTCATTACGGATTCATTTGAACAGTCAAACTCCCTCGAACTGCTATAATTTGATCTGTATCAAAATTGGCTACGGTCAAACCATAAACGGACAAAGCTTTCCAGCTACTTAATTTAAAAAGTAGTATTTATTTATTACCTCTTTAAGTCTCATTTGGAAATTGACACAAAACTGCGGTATGTAAGTCTTTGCGTTCCAAGGGTGCAGCGCGTAGTTCGGCCAGTACGTCTCTGTGAGAGCTCTACAAGCACCGGTCCATGTTTCTACCACTTGTAAGCAATCCGAAATTGATACCAGCATTTCTACTTCTCGAATATCATCATGAACCCTCCATAAATCGAGTGCGACCAAATTAGTCTCGATTATTGTGCATATTGTGTGTCCTAACGATGTGTGAATAACATTTAATAAAATTTAACTATTATCTAATTATTTAATATTAAGGATGTCTATAAATAATGGTTTTAAAATTGAAAATATAAACCTAGATAAAATTAGATAATGAATTAACTAAAAATACTTTCAATACTAGTTTATTACTATCTTTTAATTACTATTACTATCTTTACGGATTAATCCTAAATTATTACTATCTTTTAATTTAGATCTATCTAATCATGCGAAAAATCATCAAAATATGAACTACCTATGTAAATTGTTCATGTTACGAACAGCATCATTTTACAAACGTTTTCTTGTTATTCTGAGTTAAAAGAGTATTAAGCATCAAAATCAAATTTTAAAGTATTCAAGTAAAAAGAGCCAAAGGAGAATGATAAAAAAGAGATCTAATAATTTTTACATTTTCTCCTATAAGTGTGAGTTAGGTTAGACGTTAAGGTTACATAAACAGTCACCTAAGAATTGTAAATTTGAAAGTTCACCTGGTTATAAATCATAAACCGTGCGGCGCGCGGGGAAAAGGCACTTGTAACACGTATATGTTAATAGTGATTTATTATAATCGCACTTAATACCATTTAATAAAATACTCTAAATTTATAACTGATATGTCAATCTGGGTTCATTAACCACTACAGCCATTACCGGGGCTATCCTAGGGCCATCCTGAATGCCGTTCTCCTACTCACAAACGTACGAATACAATTATTAAGAACATACCAATTACATCCATAACATGGACCATTCTCTCGATCGGATAAGGTGCTGTAGTTGTCCGCCAGATGTCGTCTAGTATGCCACCAATATTTTCAGCGGCCTCTCTGGCGTCAATCATTACGTTTGATTGCATAGATCTTAAATCATTAAAAAATACATAGTGGTATACACCTTGAGGAGTTTCAGAATATGGAGGAAAAAATACATTTTTAGGAAACATTATTATTTTAATTTAGAATTCCAAATAATTATTTAACGGTCTCGGACGTGGGAAACCTGTATTAACCAAAGCATTACAAACACATTACAAGTATGTAAGTGTTTCGACTTTCCAAATAAAGATAGTTTTCCTTTAACAATAGCATGCTATTAATTGTACTATTGTAGTTTCTTTTCTGAAACCAATCTCCCCACATCACATATTTATTTGTAATCTTAAACAGAATTCTGCTCGAATGGGGCTGAACACTAATTTTAAAAACAGTTTTAAACAATACTGTTTTTATCAATACCTTAGTTCTTCAATAATGTATTGAAATTGTTCAAAAAATGTTGAGGACATTTCTCTCTCTTTTTTACTGGCATCTTTTTTTTCCATTACAGCTTTCCAATATTCAAATTCATCTTCTATAGTAAATATTGCTGTAAGCAAATAAAATAACTAATTAATTGATTAAGTGGAGTGAGTTAAGTTGAGTATTATCTCTAAATATCGTCCCCAAGATCTTGGATCCTATTAAATTAAAGGTGAATATCAGTATAACAATTTAATAATGAATGTTTTAAAAATGATGAGTATCTGAGAGGTGATTTCTAAATAATTAAAAGTGGAGTCGGTCTGCGTAAGCCCACAAGTTTTTGATTTGAGCACCAATGGTTACTGAATAAAAATCTTTTTTCTTGCTGTAACTGCACAGAACAGCTTACGATCAAACTGCTGTTAAATGTTATCGAATCCCACAGACATAACACCATTGAATACCACCACCCTCGTATCCCACAGACATAACACCATTGAATACCACTACCCAACTTCAAACATGAACTTGCTTAATCGATTGTATTGTGTAATCTAACCCATTTTAATTGGTTCCATATCGTGTGTAAAAATGCCATATATGAGTGAATATGTTATTTTTTAATACTTAAAAAGATCAATGACTGCCAGGCGATCGAAATGGGCAGGATGGTGACAACCGCATGTCCGGGCTTATAGTAATCCCTGTACCAAAAATAACAGAAATGTCACTTATTTTTGTATTATTTCAATGTATACAGTCCTTACCGTTGACATTTCCTTTCTCCTTCCCATAATTAACAACACGTAGGACAGATTCCAATTCCAAAAGACACTTCTGAAGTTTACTTGAATACAAATCGTTTCCCTGAAGAAAATAATGGCAATTTAAACCTTTTGAAAATATTTTCTTGTAACTACAATGTAAAGTAATAATTTTCAGTTAATATTAAAAGAGTGTATCATTCAGCACAACTGATTACTAGTGGTAGACCCTCTTTACTGGTGGTAGGACCTCCTGTGAGTCCGCGCGGGAAGGTACCACCACTCTGCCTATTTCTGCCGTGAAGCAGTAATGCGTTTCGGTTTGAAGGGTGGGGCAGTCATTTTAACTATACCTGTGACCTTAGAACTTATGTCTCAAGGTGGGTGGCGCATTTACGTTGTAGATGGCTATGAGCTCCGGTAACCACTTACCACCTGGGCCGTGAGCACGTCCACCCATCTAAGCAATAAAAATAAATAAAAAATATTTCTAATATGTTTTCCATTTACAATGATTCATAAATCAAAAGTGAGTTCCTTTGAATAATTTGAATAGCTAAATTACCTCTGATATGAGGGGTGTGAAAATTAATCTTGATACGTAAAACAGTATTTCAGCAGTGTTATTTGAAAATGTTAATATGTTTATATCCTGAGCTGAATTTCCCTGAGTCAATTCCTTTCTTTCAATCTTATAAAATACAATTGATCTCTTCACATTTTGTAACTGAAAATAATCAATAATATTTGCTTAGAATAGTCTTTTTATTTATTCTGATCTTGATGTGCGTATATATGTGATTTACCTTCATCGACAATCTCAAACTATCGTTATGCACATAGCCTTGAATTAATAATGTTTGTGAATTGTAAATGAATTCCGACAAAGCATTTTCTGATTCTTCATCAAGCTTAAGCCTTGTCCCATCAAAGTAGAGTTCTGAAATATAATATTATTGCATTTTATATAAAAGCATTTGATTGCATTTAAAGTGACCATAGCCTAACAAATTAGGACTAAATCTATTCGTAGTGAATGACACAACTACGCAGAGTTAAAATCCTAGATATATGTAGCTATTTAATAAAAAACGGTCCTAACATATTCATGAACTGTTTTCATGATAAAGAATTAAACTTATGTAATATAATGTAACAGAAAAAAATTATATTGGCATCACAACATGCCCTCCTGTCAGCACTGAAAATTATCATGAATTCTGGATTGACAGGTTAGACTGCACTTATGTGGTATAATTAAGACATCAACCTTATATTAGGTTTCAAGACGGGTGGTGACAATTACATTACATTGTTTATGGGCTTTGATAACCACTTTACATCAGGTGTGCCAAGAATACTCTCACCCATTTAAGCAATAAATAATAGTTTAGTATAATAACTTTTTAATCCAAAAACTGTTGTGAAATTACAAAATGATGTATCTAGTATTGATTAACATTTCATTTCTTAAGGATAATTGAAATAAAAAAATTTGTTCAGTATTGATTTTATGAAATGTGCACAATGATTTTACAACACTATAATAGAATTTAACTTTTAAGTCTAGTAAATATATACAAGGCCTTTATTATAAATATATGTTAATAAAATTAAATTCACTACTCTAAAAATAGTTTAATGACTTAAGTTTTTACTTGTACTTCAATAAAAAAAAACATTTTTCATTAAATGTATTTCATTAAAAATAATCTATTTAGCTCTTGAAATAAATAAGAAAAGATTACTCAATACGGATTATGTTAGTAAATCATTATTATATTTTTAACATGTATATATTAAGATAAATTCACAAAAATTCAAGTTTATTAAATTTGTTTTAAATAAAAGATGTAGAGCACAAGGTGCATGGATTTGTTAAAAATTAGCTAAATTTGAAATCTCACATAAAATATATTTGTAACACATATGAAAAATAATAAAATATCAGTAATAATAATGAAAATATAATGGAAAATATTTCATTTAAATATTAAATAGTAAATATTAAAAAACAAAAAATTACATACTGACATACTTGATAAGTTTGGAAGCCATTGATCATGAGCAATGAAAAAATATTTTAGCAGTTTTAGTTACGGTGTAATCCTTAAAACTTACCGATAGTGGAGATAATAAAGTCTCTTGCTGAAATCATGATATTTAGATTAAGTACTGTGGTACTTAAACTATTATATGTTCAGCATTATTAATTATAATAAAGTATGTTTCAAATGGATTTTGTTCTTTTTACATCCATTAAGCTTAGATACCCATTTTCTTATAATTTGCCTTTGATTATTTCCAATAAGTGCATTTAAATTTGTTTTTATTGTCAATGACAGCAAGTTACCATGGCAACTAGCTTTTTAATTATGTATGCAAAGGTATGGTATGGTTTTAATATTCACATGAAATAAATTCTAATATTAGCGTAGGATTTTAATTTGCAGATATTTTGATATTTTATTTCTTCTTAGTAATATCTTTCTCTTATAAGTTGCTTTTTAGAACTTTAAGAGGCAATACCAAGCGCTGAAATGAGTTCCCCTGCACGGCGTACCTTGAGCGCTAGATATAATAACAGGTCTTTCTTCAAATAAGGTTTCAAAAGTTTTCTATGAAATAAAGCCCATGACTTTCCGTCTTACCGATGCGCTAGTCATATAAAAACATAAAATATTGTAAATGTGTAACAGTGCAGTGTTTTTAATACATATTAACCATGAAGTCAGTGTTTTAAAATAGCCCCTCACCTCTAGAACCCAGTCCTTTAAAAAAGAACTCCGTCTAACACACTGTATTCGTCGAACTTACTGAAGAGCTACACGTAAATCTTGGCAAATAGCATTAACTCGCTATGTTTCTTGTTAGATCAGTGGATCGCGATACTGATTATTACTCATTTGCTGTTCTGAGCAGCTGTTCTACTTTTAAGCAGTTAGGCCTTCTTCGGGTTCATTATGACACCTGTCTTCTCCTTCTGACTAAGCCCTTGGGCTCACCTATCCATGCTAGTTAAAGAACAAGGTCTAAGTACTCAGTAAAATCCTTGCCAAAAATCCTCCACTTAAATATTATTCTGTAAGCCTAAATTAGCTTACGCTTCATATGAGCTAGAATATGTGTGTTGATTTCATAAGCCTATATACTAGTACAGTCACTATCCACAAGATTTTTTAAGATATATAGGATAAGGCAAAATGAAGCGTCAAGGCATATCAGAGAAAAATCGTTCCATTTTTTTTTGTTTTGTTTATTGCTTCGATGGGGGGCGAGCTCACAGTCCACCTGGTGTTAAGTGGTTACTGGAGCCCATAGACATCTATAACGTAAATGCGCCACCCACCTTGAGATATAAGTTCTAAGGTCTCAGTATAGTTACAACGGCGGCCCCACCCTTCAAACCGAAACGCATTACTGCTTCACGGCAGAAATCGGCAAGGTGGTGGACAGTGGTGGTGCCTACCCGTGCGGACTCACAAAAGGTCCTACCACCAGTAATTACGCAAATTATAATTTTGCGGGTTTGATTTTGCTTACACGATGTTATTCCTTCACCGTGGAAGTCAATCGTGAACATTTGTTGGGTACGTATTTCATTAGAAAAATTGGTACCCGCCTGGGATTCGAACACCGGTGCATCGCTCAACACGAATGCACCGGACGTCTCAGGAAAAAATCGAAAACACTTTGTCTTTTCATCTAATAGGTACGTAGTTACAACAGCTGCCCTACCCTTCAAACCGAAACGCATTACGGCTTCACGGCAGAAACAGGCAGGGCGGTGGTACTAACCCGCGCGGACTAGCAAAAGGCCCTACCACCAGTCACAAAATAAAGTCTCAGTAATAAGTCTGTTTCAGTAATAAATTCTACCGTACCTATTAGATTTTTTTAAGGGATTTTAGACCTAGTAACTAAGATCTTGAAGTCGTGTCGAATATGGAGTGAAACAAAATGAAGATGATTAATTTGAGACATTAATCAGCTGGGTTGAAATTAAATGAGATGAGATGAGATGATATGGGATGAAATATAATCTTAGTAAAATGATGATCATTTACTGATAACCTATATTAGAGATCAAGTTGTCTTAATTAATACAAATAATCACTGAAGTATGAAACCTACAAATAATACATGTCTCAAATATATTAAGTGTTTAATCCATGTTCTAATTAATCCATAGATTATACACTTAATATATACGAGAATGAATTAATCTATGAAGTTGTCACTTGTCATTCTGTCAAAAAAGGAGGAAGGGGATTTTTAATAAAAAATGATCATTTGTATTTATTTGATTTGATTTCGAAACCATTTTATTCAAACGATTATCGTTGTCTAAAATTAATAAAAACAATATGAATTTAATAAAAATGTTGCATACTCGAACCCTTAACCTTGTAAGTACTTTTCACCTACGATACTAAATAAATAATGGAACTGAAATCTTAGACATGTAGAAATGTGATTTTGTTTTTAGAAATCACTCATGATATGAATTATACGATAATAAAACTATTTCAGGCTTATAATGCGCTCAAAAATGTCAAGAAAGTGGCTTTTTCAAGTGATACCACCAACAACATGGATACAACCTACATGGAGATTCCTCTTTATGATGTTGAGAAACAACAACCGCTGGAGAAACGTAAAGCAAGGTAACAAAAAACGGTTAATATAATGTAAATTTGTTGTGTTGAGTTTTATTGCTCTAAATCAGCAGATATGACTTTTATATGCTGTGGGTTGGGAGAAACCCATATCCAGCAGTGGACAACCGTACTCTAATGATGATAGTTTTTTCAATGCAATCTTAACTGTATTCAAACAATAACCATTTAACATCTATCTTATGGGTCTGCAGAAGATAATGTCTACACTTCACTTTTTTGTTTATTTTATTTTTTTGTTGAATATGTATTTGTTATTTATAAATAAGTTTCTTCTTGAAAACACACTTCTTATTAAAAAGCACTTAACAAAAACGACTGAGGTGGTTTTTTGGGAACTGATATGGATTAATGGCATTTGTGGGGAAAATTGCTTTGAGATATGAGCCACTTGACACACGGAGAAGGTTACGGAATGAATTAAACTTGTATGTCGATGTACCACTGTATATCATGGGTGTTAGGAGACTGATTCCGAAAACGAAGACAGACGATATTACTATGACACCTTTGATGATGGATCTATTTAGACAAATGTTGTAAATAAGTATTTGTGCGATTGTGCGAGTCTGCCCGCGCCGCGCCCGTGCGTTCGTTGATCCCAGCATCAGCTGTTTGATTTTGTGTTTCATTGCTGCTTTTTTTTCGTAATATATTTTTTTATTAAACTATCGTTTCATTTAGCTGTACTAACATAATGGAGCGTAAACAATGCTAATAAAACTTTTTAGAAATATGTTTTTTTTAAATCAGGATCGATTTTCGTCCCATCATCAAAGGTGTCATTAGTACTATCGTCTGTCTTCGTTTTCGGAAACGGTCTCCTAACACCCAGTATAATTGTACATTATTCCAAACAGAGTCGAAAGTAGTAGCACTCAGGGGAAGATTTAGAAAATAATATAAACATCCATGTTGTTCTATGATAACTTACAAGTGTTTATTGCAATATTATCAAAAGCTATTTAATAATCAGGTGTAGCAATAATTCTTTAATAGCCTAAGTGATTTATGAAACAATCTTGAACAAAAACAAAACATCACTTATGTAAATACAAAAAATAAATTACATGAATAATACATAAGTAATATTAGGTATGATGAATAATAATAAAAAAATAATTAAATGAAACTTATATTTCTCATCATATATGGAGTTTTTATTCTGTCACTAACTGCTTCTGAATGGGGGTTATTCTTGAAAACTTCCTTGAGCATTGATCTGTGGGTAGCTAAGTTGTTATTTTTCACTATGCTCATAAAGAGATATTAGAGGATTGTCCCTATAACTTTGAAATCATTACATGTAATTTTTTAAAGAATACTGACCTTGTATATATCGCACATACGGTGCTATAAAGTCACCTATGCAATTTTTGTTAACACTGAGCTGAGTATGAGAAAATATTTTTTTTTAATAGTTATCAGTGAGATGAAAGAGATCTTTGCTTTTACTGATGAAGTTTAAAGTAGTAGTTTAAATATTATCATTTTATTTCTATAGCCTAGCAGAACTATATATGAATTGTATAATAAGATGTTGAATTTTTCAACGTTTCTCGTGAAAAATTACATAATTTGCATAACTGATGTTATTCCACCGTATGTGCATTATATTGTGTTCTAAGTGATTGTTTCCGCTTAATCTGCATCTATTTAATGAGCATGCCAAGATATTTATCATGCTTTATGTAAGATCTTAACTCAGTAACATTGACAACCAAGAGTCCTCTTATTTAAATGTCAATTAGTAAAAATTACTAATTTTGTCTTTTGTGTGGGTTAATTAGTATGTCACATAGCTTGCATTAATTTTGCATTCATGCAGTCTGCTTTCTTGCATACGCTAATGGTTATATAGGCGAATCTCTGAAATTCGTTTTTCTATTTATTGTTAATTAATTAATTAATTTATTTATTATATAATTTTTGTTTTTTAAATAATTTATCTATTTATTTTGAAGTCGTCGTGGCCAAAAGGATAAGACGTGCGGTGCATTCGTGTTGAACGATGCATCAGTGTTCGATCTCAGGCGGGGCGATTTTTCTAATGAAATACGTACTCAACAAATGTTCACGATTGACTTACACGGTAAAGGAATAACATCGTGTGATAAAAATCAAACCCGCATATATAATTTGCGTAATTACTGTTGGTAAGACCTCTTGAGGTACCACCGCCTTGTCTATTTCTGCCATGAAGCAGTAATGCGTTTCGGTTTGAATGGTGGGGCAGCCGTTGTAACTATACTGAGACCTTAGAACTTATGGACCGTTTATTTTGAAAGTGGCGTAAGTCCATATTTTTTTGTTTCGAGAAAATTAATGGCAAATCATATTATGAGGTCTGGCATTGTTTCTGTTGTTTTATCAACATTTAATTTGTTTATATAAATTTGTTTTTGGCTAATAAGACTACGATAACACATATTAATGTGCTGTAAATGGACTTACACCACTTTCAAAATTAGGCAATTGTAAAAATCGGTTAATTTCAATTTTGAAAAATCAAATATCGCTTAAAATATACTTCATTTTAATATAATTTTGTTTACAAATACGCATAACAACACATAAAATTTTATTTTAGACGGCAATTAAATTGTCATTACAAGATACTGATTACAAGAATTTACTTATTCTCTGCATGTGGTAGTGTTTCAAAATATGGATGATGCGTTTCATTTCATATAAAATGAATTTATCCTATTTTGTACATTGCGCTATTACATTATAGTAATCTTGTGGTGTGTACACAAAATTCATTTTTCTCAATGCCATTTCTATGATGCCAAAATCTGCATCGTTCGGAAGGTATGAATGCCCCGAGAGTAAAAATTTGTGGTCAATTATTACAATGCTGTTTTCCGACTGGACAACCTTCACATAATAAAACACTGATCGGCATCCCATCTGCTATGCCACCTACCTCTGTCAATTGGACTTACACCATTTTCATAATCGATGGTTATGCAATTTCATTTACCGACCGATTTTAAGTTGTACAACCCACGGGATTTTTTTGCGAAATTAAACACGGACTAGTTATATATAAAAAAATTACATTAAATTAAGCATGAATTACGTGATAGCTCATTTTTCTCAAAAATGGACTTACACCACTTTCAAAATAAACGGTCCTTATATCTCAAGGTGGGTGGCGCATTTACGTCGTAGATGTCTATGGGCTCCAGTAACCACTTAATATCAGGTGGGCCGTGAGCTATCCACCCTTATAAGAAATAAATAAAAAATTAAAAAAATCTGTGTATAGCCACCACAGTGCACCACACGGTGCTAGTCCCCATGATTTTTACTTGATGTGCATCGCCATTATAAAAAAAAAACTTTTTAAATGTATGTAGGTATATTGAAAGCCCGAATGGATGGGTGATCCATTTTTATCATTTAACATACTACCTATTTCTCGTCTATGTCCAATAATATCGAAAATAACACAAATTAAGCTATAACATGTCTAATTTCTTGTAACGAGTTCATATTATATAATGCTATTTATATAAGGCGGAGGCAAAGGATAAGATATTGTATTGCTATTTTATTAAAAATATGCAAAAAATAAGATTTCTACAATTATGGATTTTTAATGCTTATGTATCTTATTAAATTCATATATCAATGCACTTTCGATTACTTTTTTATTTTTTTATTGCCTCTGTAGGCAGCCGAGCATACCACCCACCTCATGGCGAGTGATTACCGTCGCCCGTGGACTACAGCAATGCCAGGGGCAGAGCCAAGCCGCTGCCTACCGTTCTCTGCATTACCTTTGGTTGACTAGTAGAGGGCATTAATTCCGCCAATGTATACGAATAGATAAAGCGTAATTAATGAATAAAATATTACATGTACCAGTGAATTAGGCGCGCACAACTGATGATGCAATAGTCATGTACTAAAAAAAGTAGTAGATAGTGTGCAAAAACTTTACCTCGTATTTTGTTTTCATATATTATTTCAATGTTATTTTTTATTGTATTAAGCTTAGTTTCACTAACAAGACATGAATGTTATTTAAATATAGTCAAGAACAACATTTGATGTGGTATGGCACATCTTGTGTTGGCAAGATATAATTGAAAAAAAATATCAAACCGAACTAACAATTCCATCTTTTTTGTCCTTTTGATACAGGATATTAGAGAATTGTTATAAAATCATTGCATTGTCATCGGTTCTTGATGCATGTGCGAATTGTCAAGCTAGTCAGATATTATGAAGTCGGTGCAAATATCATTCAAAAGATTCAGTTACATGAGTCGACTATTATCAAAGCCGGCAATCTGACTTTTGGACAATGATTGGTAAATCAGAAAAACGAATTATTGACTTTGTATTCCATTGGCAGTCACAAAACTCTTCGGAACGACATCTTAGATAAATAACAGTTTAACTATTAACCTTTATTTAATGCAGGTTTTGAACCGTATTCTTTGAAGGAGACGATTATATTCAAATCAATCTGTATTAATATATCAATAATTTTTTTTTGTCCAAATGCACAGATTGCCACCTTTGATAATAGAGGACTCACATACAAACGTACATATAAGTCGCGCCAATAAAGAAACGAATCGAAAATGGCGTCTATGTACCTGCACTGACAGATGATAGGGTCAACAACTAAAAAGAAAGATAGAAAGAAAAAGTTGTTTATTGTAAAAATATATAGAAAAAAAACAAATCAGAATGTACTTTACTTTACTTTATGCCCTGGCAGAGGGGGAGGTATCTCATCTGGGATGCAACTTGCGTAGACACTTTTGCTGCCTTTCATCTAAGTCGCACAACTCGAAAGTGAAAAAATTCGAACTCAACAAAGTCAGACCTGATATTTGACGCGCCGTATGCGACTAAAGACAGCAATCGTTTAGAATGTGAGCGCATGATCGCCGCCGCCAATTTAGATTCGTTTCTTTATTGGCGCGGCTTATACCAAGCTAATGTTGCAGCATGGGCTGTGAAACTGCAGTCAAAATCTTTCTTACACTTTGTTGAATCCTCTATGCTTTGCTTCCAGATTGCATTACCAATCGCGAAAAAGAGGAATGTTAGAAAACGATCTTCTACTCAGCACTTTTGCGAAGAAGTATTTGAATGGTTTTAATGAAAAACAGACTATGATGTACGATCGTCTCATAAACTCACCCAGCAACGATTGGGACATATTCTATTGGATAGTTGAAAAGAAGCCAACTCCTAAAGAATTTGACAATGAAATTATGGACCTTCTCAAAAAACATGCTAAAAATGAAGATAAAATTGCACTCCGACAACCCGATCTACATTAAAACGAAAATGTAGTGTTAAAAGAATAAATTTGTTTCGTTGATTAGTTATTATAGCGTTAGTTGCTTGTTGTTCAGTATTTTATTTAATAAAAAAATAAAGGATTGAATATAAATTACATTATCGCTAAAATTATTTTATTTCTTATAATGAAGGTTAATTACATATCTGCTTGAAAACTTGCTAATATTTAGTTATCAGCTCATTGACGTAATTATATAAAAATGTATTTAACGAGTGTTTGAACACGATTTCAAACGCACAGAAGTCTGTCGTCCATATAAATTACTTATATAAATAGATCTTTAATATGTACTGTTTTCATGAATATAATATTTAACATCAAACGCATAAAGCCTACGTCGTTCATACAGCAGAGTTGTTCTTTTGTGTTGCGCGTGACGTAAAACAAACATACATTTTCTATAATAGTTCGCAAATACTGATGAAACATAACGACTAATTTCATTGATGTGCTCGAACCCGCAAACAGACAAACCCTTTTTAATTTATTATAGAGAAATAACATCATTTTTATGGCTATAACTCGACAAAAGAAAATAAATTTAAAAAATTATATTAATCTCTATATTCGTTTTATGATTTAAGATTTATCCATGACTACAACACAGTATCGAACTGAATAAGGTACTATGGTTTTGAATTTGATGTGGACAACATTATTAAAGTACCTAATAAATAATTTTTATTTTATTTTAGTATAGATATAGGAATAGAAGAACGCACACAGAACGCTTATACAGCATTTAACAATCAAAATTTAAAGATAATTGAATTCTTTTTGTATTTTGTTAGTGTATTTTCGTGCGTAAATGAGTCTTTATTCGCCAAAGAAATTAACATATTCATTTAAATGTGTATGAAGGCGGATAGCAGGCTGACCCAATAGACGTTACGAGCGACCCCACGATTTAAAGGCAACGCTTTGCGCACTACGCTCGCTCCATAAGTAGTTGTACATTCGTCAAACTGCGCATTCAAATCACAAATCCGAAAGAATATTGTAAACGCTAAATACTTTATTACGATTATGTTTTCACTGTATTATCAATAGAATTTTATAATTTATGTTGATTATGAATGGGTACATCAAGAGGTCAGGCGCACAATCTTATCTTTCTTCGTTGTTTAAATGTTTGTGCTTTAGATCCAATGAAGTCAGTTAACTTCAAGCGACTTACGAAAATAGTTTATGGTAACAGTGCTGTAAATATTTAATCATAAAAAAAGTACAATAGTGCTCAGTGTGATTAATTAGTGTTTTTAAGTGCAATCAGATATACTAGTGAATTTTAAAATGCCTATTAGACGTAGCCAGGTAAGAGTTATTCTTCCAATTATCAATTATTAACATTTATTCTTTGAGTAAATTAAACATGAATATTAATTGTATTTGATTAATTAATTGTGGTACAATGGGTGCTAATTTTTTTAAGGTAAATATTTAGAAAGTACACGTCATATTGAGTTACTTTTTTTGTAGTTGAGAAAAGTCACACGAAGATAACTTTGTAACTATTTCTATTTAGAAATCATAAGAAAATATGAAATAAACAGAAGAAGCAGTGGTTGCAGATTTTTATTTTCTGAATGTTTTTTTTTTTTATATGCTTTACTATTAATATTAACAATAAAATTAGCAATGTAGATAATCTATTTTTATTTTATTATCTATTATAATTAATCAGGTTAAACTAATCAGGCTACATGAACAAGTCATGTCATTTAATTGCCCTTAAAAAACAAATAAGGCTACGTAGGCAGCTGTAATTACGGCTCACTTGACGTTAAACGTCCACCTTAGATATTAACGGCTAGGTTATATTGCAATGTAAAATGGATCGACGGACGGCTAACCTCGGACACATGATGGCATGGCTGTAGAAATAGGCTAGAACTTGGTACAAACCCTCACGGGCTTACAAGATGTCCTGCCACTAATTACTAATCGGATACCAATGCCGTACAACCATCATTACCAACACGTTTTATTAACCACTAACGGATGAACCGTCGGTATGTTCGGTGCAAAATTTCGATTTTAAAGAAATTTCTCGATAATCAAACTTATGAAAATTTAAACGTTCATAAGAATTGAATGTTAATGCAATATTTACTGATATCGTCACAAGTACGAGACTAAGGAGATTTATTGAAATAATATTGAATAAAAGATTTAAAAGGCCCTGTTTTAAATAACTAATTGACTTTATGGAATGTGGTTGGCACGCAAAGAGTAACCTAGGAAGTGTTGAGAGTAACTGACAATAAGGAAAAGTGGGAGGGTGGGTTTTCAATATTGCGGTAGGCAGCGGCTTGGCTCTGCCCCTGGCATTGCTGAAGTCCATGGGCGACGGTAACCACTCACCATCAGGTGGGCCGTATGCGCGTCTGCCTACAAGGGTAATAAAAAAAAAAAAATTAATATCCCTTTTTGTCTCGTCCCCGAATAGAGCCGAAGGGGATAATAGCCGCTCGGACTGAAAATGTTTATATGTAAAATACATAGACAAAGACAAACCAGTTGAGTCCTACTTTCTCATCTGTTTGTCAATCAAGATTCTTCTTTGTTTTTTTTTTTTTTGTATTGGAGATGTTGACGAGCTTTACAAAGTGTTTTCAAGATATTTTTTAGCATATAAAGTATAAAGGAATGCATTTAAGGTCTTGGTGAAATGGATATTCGAGAACCAACACAAGCTGCAGACTATTCGATGGTGTAGCTCTTCGCTGCGGTACAAAGAGCTAGAAGACTCAGTGCAGGCGGACCACGTGGCACCATCGCCCACGCAAAAGCCACACCCACAAATTACACCTGAAATCTCCTTCAAGGTAAATAACAACTCGTTGAAAACAACTTAATGTGTCAACTATGCTATCTCAGCCTTATCTCTTCTGACGACATGTAAAGGCTATCGCAATACATTTTTTGATTGTTCTCTGTGATTTCACGCTATCGCAAATCGCGTTAATTCCCACTTGCATCGAAATTAATTGATATATAGGATGAGGCACTCGCTTCTAATGGTACATAGAAAATAACTCGAGTAATTCAGTAAAACACTACACTACAATACGACATTCCGGTGAGAAGAGTCAACAAAGGTAGCCACTTTAGTCCTTACAGCTATATGACAAGGGACTTAGGAGACTACCGGAATTAAAATTTTGGATATATGTATTTCTAGTCATTCAATGATTCACTTTCAATTCCGAAACGGGTTTTCCATTATGAAGGTATATTCTGTTTTTTTATTTTATTGCTTAGATGTGTGGACGAGCTCACAGCCCACCTGGTGTTAAGTGGTTACTGGAGCCCATAGACATACACAACGTAAATGCGCCACCAACCTTGGAAAAAAACCTTGGTTCTAAAAATTTTCAGTATGTTTTCAAAATCTATGGCAAGACTTACTTTATATAGATATTTAAACTAGATAAACCCAAGTGGCAAATGTCCACCCTGTATCAAAAGTATATATTGAAACGAGCATGTTTTTAATCAAAATATACGCGCAAACGTGTTTTGAACTTTTATCATATTTACGTCTTTCGTGTGATGAACATTCATTTGCTTCTAAGCTAGTACTACTTATCAGTTGAAAAGCATATTTAATGCGACTTGTTCGTAAACATATAACACGCCCGAGTGCACGTGAGTAGAGAACGCACTATCGGTGTTTTATTACTCTGACGTGATGATATTTAGCCGAAGCTACGCAAGCAGTTGGGCATTTACGTATTTTTGCTTAATAGACGTTTTGCGAGCCCGCAATGTAAGTACATATTTACTTACCAACATTCTGAATACTTATGACGCGGAAATATGACGCGTTCCGCGATTTGAAAGCTTCGACAAACCTTAACACAATACAACTGAGACTACAACCTCACGGTGGGGTTTTCACTATATGGGGCGAGTAATAAAAAAACCCGTGAAAAATACAATTTTCGTCGCATGATGTGGACAGTATAAATGCACTGCTAACAGCTGTACCATTTTCTATTTTTTATTGCTAAATGTGTGGACGAGCTCACGGCCCACCTGGTGTTAAGTGGTTACTGGACCCCTTAGACATCTACGACGTAAATGCGCCTCCCACCTTGAGATATAAGTTCTAAGGTCTCAAGTATAGTTACAATGGCTGCCCACCCTTCAAACCGAAACGCATTACTACTTCACGGCAGAAATAGGCAGGGCGGTGGTACCTACCAGCGCGGACTCACAAGAGGTCCTGCCACCAGTAATTACGCAAATTATAATTTTGCGGATTTCATTTTTATTGCACGATGTTATTCCTTTACCGTGGAAGTCAATCGTGAACATTTGTTGAGTACGTATTTCATTAGGAAAATTTGTACCCACCTGGGATTCGAACACCGGTGCACCGCTCAACACGAATGCACCGGACGTCTTATCCCTTAGGCCACGATGACTTCAGTAGTTGGGCACTTTGAACATATTTAGCGCTTGAATTTTAGCAGAATCGAAAATATACTAATACATTCTCAAAATTTGGACTAGTACCAATATCTACGTACTCAAGTACTTCAATATCTAATGAGAATAACTTTAACCGTGTTTGTCTGCAGTACGAAGACTTGCAAGTACGACTCGCGGCGCCGTATCAGCTCACCCCGAAACCCGAAGCTAAGGAACTAGGTTTCGGAAAGTATTTCACCGATCATATGCTCAAAATTTATTATCACAAGGAACTCGGGGGATGGCAAAAGCCGGAGATCATGCCATTCGAGAACTTAAATATACATCCCGCCGCGAAGGCACTTCATTACGCCATACAAGTAAGTCGAAAATACGATACTAATATCTATCAATATTTTTATTTATAGCGTACTAGCTGACCCGGCAGACTTCGCAGTACCTCAATCGATAAATAAAAGACCTAAACTTTTGTATAAAATAAACTTAAAACGAACAAAAGGAATCCGTCCGACGGGGGACACATCAAAGGAAAAACAAAATTGTTATTTTTATTTCATTCCGAGCATTTGCATATTCATCTACTTTTTAAACCTTCTCTGGACTTCTACAAATAATTCAAGACCAAAATTAGCCAAATCGGTCCAGCCGCTCTAGAGTTTTAGCGAGACTAACGAACAGCAATTCATTTTTATATATATAGAAGAAGAAGATATGAGTGATCGAGCCCACGGCTCACTCGGAGTTTAATGCTTGCTGAAGTGAATCATAACACATACCAAGACACGATACGAGGTAGAAGTCTCAATTTCATAGTATAACAACCCTTAAACTGCAACGTTTCGCGGCAGAAATGGGCAAAATACGGCCTAAAACTCCATTATGTTTTTATGGTTTACGAGCTTGAATGCCGATGCATTTCAGGTGCCGAAAATAACCCGATATCAGCTTGTTTTCAACTGTTCTGGAATAATCACACTTATTTCATTATATTATTGTTACCACTGTCATTGCTTACGACCGTTATCAATGCAAAATTATGTAAATATAAATGTAAATGTGTATTATAGATTTGAATGACGTTTGTTCGTAAATTAAACATTGAGTGATCCGAAAATATGAACTATGACGAACGATAGTAGAGATTCAATTAATTCAAAACAATTATTTTATGTTTCGTTTGCAGTTATTTGAAGGATTGAAAGCGTACCGAGGTGTTGATGATAAAATACGATTGTTCAGGCCGGAACTTAACATGGAAAGGATGAACCTCGCAGCCCAGAGGTCCGGTTTGCCAATGTTCGACGGAGAAGAGCTCGTTCAATGCATAAAACGATTAGTACAAATTGACCAGGAATGGGTTCCGCATTCAGAAACGTCGACCCTTTATATCCGACCAACGTTAATAGGGATCGAGGTACGAACGTTAACTTAATTGTGCATTTAACTCTTTTAATCTTTAATTAACAATATTTATTACTTATGTTTGCTATTCGAATGACAAGGTGACCTCCGCCCTGTTGATAAAAAACGCAATGCTAAAGGAGAAATAAAAGTAATTCCAGTATCGTAATATAAGAAAGAAATTTCTTTTAACAATTTAATTCTTTATTTAATTCTCCTTCATGACCCGTTCACCTTAAATATAAAGTTGTTTGATAATAAAATTAACGACTACATATTTTATTTACATATAGAAGTGCAGTATCTCGTGTGGCGTAATGATTCGTGAAGTGAAACGTGTTATTGTGTGATTTTTTTTCGACATTATAATAAATTTCCTAATATGAAAAGCCAAGCGTGTCGCTGCTATTGATGATATTATACTAATTGCTAAGGTAGGCTTATCGACAAATACTGAAAATACCCTCCGAGATAATAGATTACATAGGCTGAAAGCACGCAATTATTAGGTCCAAATCAAATAAATTAATTGATAGTAAGATAATTTCGAAAACATTTCTGAAATAGCTGTTACAACCAAAAATTTGAATAAGACTATTTCAATAAATTAGTTCATCATTGAAATAACATATAACAGCATAAAGTTATTAGCATAAAGCAGGTTTTATGTAAAAAAGAAAACTGGAAGATTGTAAAATTTTATATATTGTAAAACTCATTGTGGTATTATATTATTATTTTCCTTAAAAATCCAAAGCATATTATTATGCTGATTTTTGTACGTTGACAACACAGACATTTTTACCTATTATGTGACTAGGTATTATATGGTAATTTCGCGACCAAATGTAAAAAACTTTTATTTTATTCGAATGTTAATTTAAAAGTTGTGTGTGTAGCTGCGGGTCATTTGTACTACTTTAGGACCACCATCTTGTTAATCGAAGTGTGAAGTGGCACCGAATGTAGGCAGTCTAGGTCGCCTGTGATGCCTGTACGGTTACTCTTCAAAATCAATTGAACGGCTTCGTTTTATGTCAAATCCTTCTCGACTGTAACATACTCTGGTCTAACAGCAAACAACTAAATATATTTATAATAATATTCGCATTTCTCAAGGCTTAGTGAAATATTGGTTTTGTGAAGGCTGTTTTGCGGTAGGCAGCGGCTTGGCTATGCCGCTGGCATTACTGAAGTCCATGGGCGACGGTAACCACTCACCATCAGGTGGGCCGTATGCTCGTCTGCCTACAAGGGCAATAAAAAAAAAATAATTCTGGTGTAGTTCGATAATATACCCTACATCATGTTATTCCAATGTCGTGTAAAATAGTATTTTATAAGCTTGAGCTTATCTCAATCAATGAAAACCGTATCCAATTGGTTCAACTGTAAAGTATTGTAATGTACAAATGCACAGTTTCTATAAAATAGGTATTGCATACTTAAGTAGAGTGTATTGATAACGTTTTACTAAACTCAAAACTTATTTAGAAACTTGTTTAAAATAATAGTTGGTTTCTTAATTTTAGATACCTAATCACAATGTAGAGCATTGCCTAAAAATGAAAACCTAAACTGAAAATGAAAACATGAATTTAATAAGTGATTTGCACTTCAAGAGAATATTTGTCGATTTATCACAGCGTGACCAAGGTTAAAATAAATAGTTATGTATAATAGTAGATTTTAAAGTCGTAATAAAATTGTTGTAGTAAGTAATCGTAAAGTAAGTATAATATTTTCACAAGGTAAAATGCGGTAAAGAAATGAGTTATCAAAACGTCCAAGGTAATAATAAAAATTCTTTATAAAATTCGCGTTATTAAATGCGTGTATGATTCTAATGTTATCGCAATATGCGTGCGATAAGAACTAATTCCTATTATTTTCATCGTGTACGATTTTACACTAAACAATAGCCTTGAAATTTATTGAAACTTAAACACGCCACTGTCCATCTAATTATAAACATAGATACTATTAACATAGTAACTACTCATCTTTATTCATCTTTACTTACCCCTTTCTGTTTTTTATGACTAAACAATCACGCCACGTTAACTGGTCCCGTGATAAGTTCGTAAAGAACTTGTGTTACAGGTACTAGATAACGGATATAAATGTAAATTTTTTATTATACACATACATATATTTAATATACATCCATAACCCTGGAAAAGACATTTATATTTATCATACAAATATCTTCCCTTGGCGGGATTCGAACCCGCGACCCCCTTATGTCGTGACCATGTCACTTGCCACTACACCAGACGGCCGTTAAAGTAACTGTGTATATCAATAAGCTAAGCCACATAACTAACTCACATGCATAGTCGCTTTTTGTTAAATAATATTCGATGGTTAAGCGACTATTGACAAACCCACTATTGATGAAATCAAAACATAACGTGTTAAAATTAAAAATCCCGTCATGGCTTCTCGCAATTACAACTGTCTTAAATTACCATTCTGTCTAAATTGTTCTCGAAGTATATAGCTAATCATTATATTAATAATATTAATAATATAGCTAATATATCAGAGGAAGTGTGAAAGTGGCCCCGGTAAACAACAAATTAAGGAGCGGACGGTTAGAGTGGTATGGACATGTGATGCGTAGAGAGAAGATGCATGTGACTAGGAGATGTATGGAAATGGTAGTGCAAGGTAGAGGGGGAAGAGGTCGACCGAAGAAGACATGGATGGAGTGTGTGAATGACGATATGAGAGAGAGAGGAGTGAGTGTTGAGATGACGGCAGATAGAAGAGAATGGAAGAGAAAAATTAGCTGTGCTGACCCCACCTAGTGGGATAAGGTGGGGAAAAAGAAGAAGAAGTATATAGCTAATTGATTAAAGTGCAAAAATAAGATTGCAAAACATTCACACTTTTTCAAATGCAGATTAATATCTCCGTCGATTTGTTGGGTGGCGGAGAGTTTCTTCATTTCATTTTAAATATTAAATTGCGTCATATAAATTTTTTCCGCTATATTTGTCATGTTCCATTTTCACATTTTAATAAAGACAAGAAAGTTTTCAGGTACAAATATATACCGACCGTAATGAAAATGATGTTACATTTAGACTTCGACAAAGTTGACAATTTCCCGTTCGTGTAGTGCAGCGGTCGGGGAACTTTTTTAATTATTACCCCAAAATATTTTTGTGTAATTTGAAATTACCCCATGGCGAAGAACAAAAAAAAAAAACGAAATCGCTTCTTTTTAGCATCTTTCATATTATAGCCCCCATGATAATTTTGAAAAGAAAACAATAACAAAAAATTTAACGATTCTAAAGAAGTTTCACTTCAATATATACTTTTTACTCACAAAAGTTTCATTTTACCCCATTTGGGGTAATTTACCCCGGTTTCCCCGACCGTTGGTGTAGTGAAATGAATTTTGTATTGACGTGTTTTTGTGTTGACGTGTAGCCCACTTTCGGAATAATGACGCCGGAGTCGGCATTGCTGTTCGTAATCCTGAGTCCAGTGAGCGCGTACTACAAGGCGAGCAGTGATGGAGCGGTCTCAATATTCGCTGATCCCAATGTCGTACGCGCCTTCCCTGGAGGAGTTGGAAACAGAAAGGTCGGCTCTAATTACGGACCCACTATAGGTGAGTTAACCGATTTCACGTGTTTTGTCCATTAGTTATTATCTGAATTCATAAATCAAGATATGAATTTTATTATCAGCACATCGAGAAATCTACGCAACTAATTAAAACGCTTATATAATCAAAGAATCTTAATAGCTCAATCGTACGAAAAGAGCGTCATTTTTGTTTTTTTTATCTACAAAATAGCTTTTAAATGTGGTTATTATGTATTACTTGGAATTTTAAAGCAAACTAAATTAATGTTTTTAATTTATCCAGCATTGTATTATCGAAATAAAAATTACATAATCAAACACTCTTCGGTGTCTAGAGACGCAAATTTGCTAAAAATGTTTGAAACCTGTAATGGCGATATTATTGTTGTACTGAAAAGTGTTATCTTATGGGTTTCAGACACTTACCAAGCAATTGAGAAGACTTTTTTTTATTGCTTAGATGGGTGGACGAGCTCACGGCCCACCTGGTGTTAAGTGGTTACTGGAGCCCATAGACATCTACGACGTAAATGCGCCACCCACCTTGAGATATAAGTTCTAAAATCTCAAGTATAGTTACAACGGCTGCCCCACCCTTCAAACCGAAACGCATTACTGCTTCACAGCAGAAATAGGCAGGGTGGTGGTACATACCCGCGCGAACTCACTGGAAGGTTCTACCACCAGTAAATTCACTATACTATATACATTATTTCTTCTACTATACACATTGTTTCTTCACGTTACCGTATCGAAATTGAAGAGATCCATTAGTTAGTCTATGTAGTCCTAAAGAGTACTCAAAATGGAGTGGGGCACTAGCCGCGTAGAAATCATTTAGGGCAGAAAAGAATAGATAGAGATTATTACATGACGCGTGCTGTGACACGGCATCGACATGGTGGATAGACTAGACGATAGTCCTAGGACCCCACTAAGTGAATATAATGTTCTCACGTGGGTACAAATCATCATCGACATCGTTTCTGCTGTGAGGCAATCATTCGTTCTCCAGTTATTATAAATTGAAACTTGGAGATCATGTTCCAAAGCGGGCTGTAGTACTGACGAAATCGACGACAATTTTAGGACTTTAGAACAAATTTTATATTATAACATCCTTAATGGCTTCATTTATTTTCATATGTATGGTTCGCTTTCTCGTCGAAACAAATGATTAAAATGATTTAAGCCTGTCACTACAAGTAGTCGTATAATGTGTTTTTGAACGATAATCGTAAATCATTACTATAAATTTCAATTGACCCATAACTGACATATCATGTTCGTATCTAAGTAAATTCTCATCGTTCCTTTGTTATTTAAGAGTACCTATAAGCACATTCATTATCAAGGGCGGTGATATAAAAAAAAAAATGTAAGTTTTTGTTTAGTCACGTACACAATTATCAAAATGAGATACAACAAAATCAGGCGTATTATCGTTTTATTTTAAAGTAATTTTATTCAAACGATTACACTTTCAGAGGCGACAGCGCGAGCTGCAAAATTGGGGCACCATCAAGTGCTATGGCTCTTTGGTCCAGATCACCAATTAACAGAGGTCGGCGCCATGAATATTTTTATGGTGCACATCAACGATCAAGGAGGTGAGCATGCAGATAACGATTTGATGAATTACACTACATTACATACAACAAAGGAGACTTGTAAATAAATAAATATATATTTTGTGATATTTTAAATGTTGTAAGAATTAATTGGATATCCGTGTAAGTGACGGAGACGTTATCTCTTCGGATGTCGTCGTTCTGACCCTTTGACCGGTAAATTCTCGAATTATACATGAAGTAACAATTAGGGTCAGTAACATCATTTAAACAATTTTTCTAACAATATCGATGATTTCAAAACAGTATTATTATGTTCTTTCCTAGATAAACAATTGAGTACGCCGCCACTGAACGGTTTGATATTGCCCGGAGTGACGCGTCGCTCCATCATCGAGCTGGCGAGCCAGTGGGAGGATATCGTCGTCAGAGAGGAAGTCATCACAATGGAACGCGTCATACAACTCAACCAACAAGGAAGGGTGAGTTTGAGTACACTAGCTGTTTACACGACGTAAACTATCGATAACGTATAAGCTCTCATGATCTAGTGTCCAGGGTGGGAGACCAGGGGCGCACAATAATAGAACGCGTTGCTCGTTTCAGTTGCTAGAAATGTTCGGCGCGGGTACAGCCGTCATCATCAGCCCGATTAGCAGGGTCGGCTTCCTCGAACAAAACATTGACATTCCCACGATGAAACAGTCGAACCCCGTGTTCCAACGAGTGAAGGACACGCTGCTCGCGATCCAATACGGACACGTGGAGCATCCGTACGCTAAGGTCATATCGTAGTGCGCGCCGGGGCGGTGCTGGACACCATCGCCGCCGCCGGCCTAGTGATGGGACACTTGTCGATGTGTTAACTGTAACGTCTCTATGATGAGTTCACGATATGCGGAACGCGGAACGAGCGAGGAAGTGACACTGTGCCATTTCAATGCTACGCATTACTTGTCAGTGAAAATACGCCTCGTTGTGAAGTTATCTTTAGCGATATCACTGTAGTTTATTTATTCTCTTGATCACCCACAACGGCGCAAAATAAACGTGTTTTGATACTTTTTGTGCTCGCTTCCGTTGTATATATTTTGTTTAATCGGTTAAAGGGATTTAAATGTGGAACTTCATGTAATTTGTTTACCTATCTGAGCAGACAGCGTTTAAAAGTAAAGTCGTTAGTGTTTCGAATTCATTAGCTGAAATTATTCTATTGTGAATGTGACAAACTTAAGAACTCACTACTGTTGACCTGTGAATTTATATTTTAACGTTCGTATCTTCGTGTAAACAAAATTAAATGGACAATGTGATATTAATGTGTAATTAAATATTAAGTACGAACTTGACCTTTGAATTGCATGTCAATATTCACATAATCTACGAGTGCTAATTATTTCTATCGATTTTAATGTCGCATCTATATAATGTGTAAATTTATAGCAACCACAATCAATATTTTGCACTGCATATTGGTATTGCTTATAGTCGAAATTCATATCTGTAAAATATAAATTGTACAAATTGTACAAAACAATTAATCATTAGTACACAACATTATATTAATAACTAAAAAAAATTACTTAATATATTCAATTTATTTACACGTATAAATAATATATTTATGATGATGTTATTGACTCAGAGAGTACAAGTTCCTGCTTAATATTAGTGTGTTTGTTTCTAGTCTAAGTTAAGAATCTTTTATATTACGACGATATGTTATTTATGAATACAATGTTTGTACATTCCTCTGTTGTTTTACGTCATCGAGCCTTTTGTATTGCGCACGCTTTAATGTTCCGAGTTTGACCCGATTAGATTATCATATGAAAGGAATACAATTCAACGTAGTTACTTATTTGCAGTCCAAAGCGTGAGGGGCCCCAGAAAAGCCATAACCGCAATAAATCGCCTTAAAACGTTAATTAATTTTAGGAGTCTTGCAATTTTTGTAGTAGTACTTCCTCTTTTTTTTTTAGTAATTTTTATTTCTTAAGGCGGCAATGTACTGGTACAAAACTAAAAGACCAAAGAACGCCACGTGTCATTTGATTTTTAATTGTTACCTTCACCGTTTAGGAAAACATAATTTCGCATCGCGTTGATTTTGCTTTCATTTTTTTTTTCGTGTTATCGCAGTAGGAATCGTCGTGGACACAAAAGCATGTTACTACACTATATCAAACTCAACAGTTTTAAATAAATTACGCCGATATTGGTCGTTTAGGTCACACGTCGGATTCAATGTTAATGAAATGCTATTCTTTTTTTTCCTACTTATTCTAATAACCTCGAGGGGTTATTCTAGATTCGCCGAGCTTGTAGGTGAGCTCACGGGGCTCAAACTTGACGACGTTACTAACACGAACCCTAGAAAGAGCCGTGCATCGCAGAATCTACCACCGGTTGCTATTTAATAGCTCTTAAGGTATACGACACACGGCCCACCTCACATCATGTCGATACGCGAATAACGTCACCTACCTTGAGACATGATATCGAGCACTCAATTGTATTGTATAAAAGTCATTTCCCTCTACAAACCGGAACGCATGACTGTTTGAAGACATAATACAGGGCGTAACCTTCCCTAGCGCGCTTACAAAACTCTCCGCCAAAACCCAGCTTAAGCAGTGCAAACCATTATCCTGCACTAATTCTCTTATCAATGGAATTCACCGAAATATAATACTATAAGGTCGATGTAGTTTCAAATAAACAGTATGTAGGGACTTGTATTTATTCGGTTGCACATGTATATGTATGTATATATCTTTTATTTATTTTTATTGCTTAGATGGGTGGACGAGCTCACAACCGACCTGGTGTCAAGTGGTTACTGGAGCCCATAGACATCTACAACGTAAATGCGGTTCTAAGGTCTCAAGTATAGTATATGTATATGGTACAGCAGTGAAAGGTTCTAACTACTCCGGAGGTAACGGTAAATCGTCTTCTAATTCTTCAACGTTTTTCTTTCTACCCGCACTAGTGCGTGATCGATTCGAAGGCTGTAAACCATCTCGAAAACTAAAACTTTCAGTATACCTGAAACAACATAATATAGCGTTTCATTTTATTAAAAAAAATACAGTATATATTTACAATAATGTAACTAGAAAATGTTAAATTGAGAATTTGAATTAACTAATGAATGAAACTTGATAAATATTCAAAGTCTTGACCCTGCGGCGCCTCAGACTACGACTTTATTTCGTTTGTCTGGTGCGCAATAATACCCAATTAGTTTGTCACGTCATACAATTTTTATACAATCACGATTTCGTAACGTGGCTTAAATCCAAAGGTATAAATTAAAGAATAATTATTACATTTCATACGAAGTAAATACCTAATGCAAATTATACGATAAATAAGTTTGATAGTTACATTTCAAATAAAGTTATGCTCGTTATTAAAAATTAGATTTTGAAGGGTAAATTAACAACTTACTTATAACTTTGGACATCACTGCCTTTGCGTCCTTCACCAGAGGGTTGAGAAGCGGTGGGCGGAGGTTGAGTTGCCGCACTGTTAACTCGAGATATTGCTGTAGACGAAGTTCACGGGATATCAATTATAAATCAACTCCATTTATATTTAACTAGTGCTGTGCTGTCTCACTGTCATTGAGTTAACAATTTTAGGCGGTAGCGTGAAGACAACAGAGACTTCTTCTTTAGTACACGAACCAAATAAAATTCTAACTATTATATCGAATTCAAATTGGAACACGTCACCTCGCTACAAAATAATAAAAATGTACAATAAAATATGTATGTGTTCTATTTAATACAATATGTCAAAAGAATTCATTTTTAGATAAATAGAAAACATTTGAATAAGATATAATTTTATCAGACTTGATTAATAAGGTATTCAAATGTGTCATTTTTATTTAGTCATTACAAGATTAGATGTCCTCGATCACCCAGTAATACATAAACTTCTATGTAAATATGTTATTTTACGTTCAATTATTTACAAATAACCTTTCTACGTATATCTTATCTCGAAAGAGATTTAAATAAATACGCTTTGTCTTTAAATAATTAAACATTAAAATAAAAACTAATTCATTAAGTATGTAAGCTTTGTTTAATTATTAAAATAACACTATATAAAAACACATTCATTCAAAGATTGATACAATTTTTTTATATGTGATTAGGATTTATTAGTCATGGAATTTAGTATTTCAATACCTATTACATATTTATAACAAAGGACAGAATTATATCAAAGGAGAGAAAGGGTTTATTTATATTGTTATTGTTTTGAATTCCGGGTCTCGAGGGCTGGCTAAAATTTGTGTAATAGTTTAGCATAGTGACCATATCTATTATCTAATACACTTTTAAGCTAGTGACAAGTTGTATATCATATATATTTATCACTCCTTTATGTTTTTCTGTATTAGAAGTTCAATTATGTTTCATTATGGAAGTTAATTAATTCATTTTGGATTGTTTTATATACACTTGCCCTCGTAGGTTTTTATAATCATAATAGGGACAGCATGAAGAAAATTCAATTAAGTAGTACATTGTAGAAAACATTCTAGAGGAAATGTCCAACTTTTCTCCCGCGGTGCACATACTATTTTTTCTCCTACCAGGGCGAAAGTTCGGGCAGTACGGAGCCGAGGTGCAGGGGCGAAGCCCTGACCGGGGGGGGGGGGGGGCGGAGCCCCGTACTCATAAAAAACTAACTTTTTTAATTTTTGAATAAAGTACTACTAAGTGAATAAGAACTGTCTGATAAACTCATCTTTGTTTAATACTTCACTATTAAATCTTATTGCCTTTTGTTTATTTCACTTTTACACTAAACACAATATTGCAAATTACCCGAGCACAACAATGGCGAAGAATTTTAGGTGCGGGAGAGCAGACGTAGACACTAACGCGCATGCGCACTTGTACCCAGGGAGGAAAAGTTACTCTTTCTTCCCCGTACAGCGGGACGAAAACCGAACATTCGGCGTAGGTAGGAGAAAAAAATACTACACTGGTATAAATTTAATCATTATCACGTATGTTGTAAAATATGGTTATTTAACGACTGGGACCCCATAATTTTGTAAAAACATAAAATAAATGAAATAATTTTCTCGAAGTTTATGTTTTATGTGTTCTTATTCAGTACACATGGGTGCGACAATATGTATGGTTTTACTAGTGAAATTTATAAAACGCGCAATGAACACGTACAAATCTTGATAATCAACACTCGCACCCACTCAACATCTTTAGTGATTCTAATGGATGTGTAAATGTTATGCCACTATTTTTAGGGTGAATTTTATTTTAATAATTAGGGTAACAAGGATATCGTAACACGAATCCGTATAAAAGCGAATTCTGAAAAACCTTGCAAGAACACTATGATTTGATTTCGAGTTATACCACACTACACCATCTAAAACTATATAAAAACTTAAGATAGTTTTAAAAAGAATACAGAATTCGAAGACAGATCTTGATTTTTTGACCGACAACCTTTAATTACTGTTTAAAAGTAGTAATCAGTAATTAGAAGAGTACTCTTAGCGATAAAACCGCCCATTTCACTCTTCGTCTGTAAAGTTAACTTTATTTTGATTTTATATTGGTATAGAATAAAGCTTACTCACCTCTTAAGTCGACTGGTGACTGACTCGCTCTGGACGATCCACTCCCCGCAGATATCACAGATGCTAAAACATCGACTGGTATTAATGTGTCTTACTTACTACAAAATTATTGATGCATTTTTATTCGTGATCGGCGCCCTTATCTTAACGTTCACTATAAGGTTGAAATTCCAATGGCAATAGAATAAGGGTCATATGACAAACTAGAGTGCATGGTTCCTTAGATGATAGGTATGTATAAACAATTACTCTAGGTTAGCCGTGAGCTTGCTTACTAATCTATCCAATTTAAATTATTTAAAGTACATAAAAATTTTGAACATTTCAATATTTTACCTCCCGTCATTTTCAATTACAATTGAAACTTTTTTTTTTAAATAAATAATACACAAAAGTTGTTATACAAATGAAACGATCTGTTGGTAAATAGGGAAAAAATATACATAAATCGAGAAAGTCAGATCCTTTTTTTGATAAAAAGTCACAAGACTAGGTAGGAACATGAATGTTGTTCATACTGCTTGTGACAGCCATTTTTTTTAAAGAAAACGTTTGCCTGATGTAATGTTTGACGAACCTCTTTCCTGCTGCTTGAGCCTGGCCTGCGCACGCTGTAATTCTCGCGTCCACGTGCTCGTCTCGGATAAACCTTGATCTCCGCACAATTTCACTATTAATTTCAGACCTGAAAATATTTCAAATATCTTCTCCATCAACTTAAAGAGAAGGGAGTAATTTCTGCGGAAATATAGTTACTATATTATTCGACTCATCATAATCGGTTGTTCTTGGCAGAGCAGTAGTGGTCATGTGGAATTCTTGTTTATTAAATCCTTGACATGTTTTCCATAGTTTGCGAACCGAGGCCTGGCGCACACACTCGTTAAGTGGGCTTTCAGTAAGGTCTTTCACTTGATTTATTTATTTATTCGACTATATTTCGAATAAATACACATTAAAATGAATTTTAGAGTGTTCGCATATTTTCATTGTCAACTTCTGCCAACATCGTTACTCTGAACTGATTAACATTTTTCTCTTTGTTATTTAAATCGACTTTTCAAGATAACAAGTTAACTCACATTGTACATTGTCGGGGAAACGGGTATTCATTTTCTTATACAGGCTGAGTGCTTCCTGGTACCGGCCCGTGGCTCGAAGGCAGCCGCCCATCAGTAAGCCCCATTGTGGCTGTTCGAGTTTTAATTATTATGACTAATTATAGGTGGGCCGGGTTCCCCTAGCGTCTTCTATTTACCCCTGTATCATTCGGTACATTGTATATCGTCATGGCCTAAAGGATAAGACGTCCGGTGCATTCGTATGTAGCGATGCACCGGTGTTCGAATCCGCGGGTACCAATTTTTCTAACGAAATACGTACTTATCAAATACTCACGATTGACTTCCACGGTGAAGAAATAAGATTGTATAGTAAAAATCAAACCCGCAAAATTATAATTTGCGTAATTACTGGTGGTAGGACCGCTTGTGAGTCCGCACGGGTAGGTACCACCACCCTGCTTATTTCTGCCGTGAAGCAGTAATGCGTTTCGGTTTGAAGGGTGGGGCAGCCGTTGTAACTATACTGAGACCTTAGAACTTATATCTCAAGGTGAGTTGCGCATTTACGTTGTAGATGTCTATGTAACCACTTAACACCAGGTGGGCTGTGAGCTCGTCCACCCATCTAAGCAATAAATAAATAAAAAAGAAAGCAATTGCCCTTGTGTTGCTAAGTAAGTGCTGCAGTATTTATAAGTACCCCACTCCCCCCTTCTGGTTGACGCTTCCAATTTTACCCGTCATGTTAAAGTTTGAATAGCTTCGATAACACCAGCATTCTTTTCAACCCATAAAAGCGTACTAACTGCCAATTCCTGCCCAACTGACGTTACGTATACATAACTTCAAAATTCTCGCATAAAACAGACGTCACGATAGCGTTCGGCCACGAGCAGAAGTTGTTGCTATAATATCAATTTTACTATCGCTTTTGTCCCACGACACCTACTTTGACATGATTTATTATTTGTTTATTACTGTTTGTTGTACTTGTACATTTTATTGACTGTATAATAATTACATTAGTCGGCTCTAGTCGCGCAGCTCGTCTGTAGTACTGCAAGGCGACATCTGGCGGCGACTCGCCCGCCAGCCACTCGAGGGCTGTTAAATCGCACGGCCATATTGCTTCTACCTGAATTAAAATGTAATAATATAATCCTAAAATGCCTTATCCTTACCTTTTACTATTCAATTCGAAGAAAAACAGAGCTGCTTTGCCTTTGAACGGATTTGTTTACAGAAAATAAGTATAAGCCAATATACCTAGAAAATAGTCTTGTTTTATAAATTGTACATATTTTCTTTTTATCATGAAGTCAGTTAAAAATAGAACGTAAGCTGTAAAACATAAGGTGGTTCATCAAAACATTGTATAATCAATGGACTTATTGCTTATTTGCCTATGTAAGTAGTCAAGTATCAATTAATGTATTTTTTGTTTCGCACAAATAGTCAATCAATCTAAATTATTGCCAGAATCGAGATTTAAAAAAAAATAAACTTACGTCTTGGTAATGGTGTTTGGCTGTTTGCGTATCGCCCATCTCGCTGTGAAGCTGGGCTAGAGCGGAGGTCACGCCTGCATCCCAATTTCCAATCAGACTGTACCTATTGTCACGGTTTGCACTGTGATTGCCATGATTAATGTTGATCAGTTTTACAATGGCATACATACATCTAATGTATATTATCTATATATCGTCTGTGCGTGTTTGTTACAGTTCAAAAATGAATCAAATGATATGATCAAATGATGATCCTTCTTCAAACAGATTTTCGTTGGAATTTTCATAAGTTCCAAATTCGGTTCTTTTTTATTTCATTGCCCGAGCAGGCAGACGAGCATACGGCCCACCTGATGGTCAGTGGTTACTGTCGCTCATGGACGTCAGCAATGCCAGGGGCAGAGCCAAGCCGCTGCCTACAGATACAATTATTGTGACATTCAAACTAGCGAAAATGTTGAGAGCATAAGGAAATTAAGTTTTGCTATTGCTATTGAAGTCGGCTGAGAATTAGAGCTCATTCACACGGGAGTTTTTTTAGCGCGCGTTAAAAAAGCATTCAAATACAACAGATGCATTTCCTTGTATATTATGTTCATACGTCAGCGCTTTTAATACGCGACGCTTTTTTATCGCGCAGTTTTGCATTTTGAGCGCTATGCGTTGGGCGTTACAGATTACGTTACATCGAGAACGTTATAAAAGCGACAGCCGCCGCCGCCGCGACGCCGAGTTTTAACGCAACGTTTTTCAAACGCCCGTATGAATGAGGGCTAAGTATGGAAGTACCAGTGTTCGGCGGCGGCGTGATCGGCGGGGTGGCGGAGCGCGAGGCGCGCGAGTGCGGCGGCGGCGAGCGGGCGCAGCGTGTGCGTCGGCGCGCCGCACGCACGCACCCGCGACCAGCGCGCCGCCGCTACCGACAAGCCCTCCCGACCCGCTGTTTGCTCCAGGCACAGAGCTACACACATTCAAATTGACAATGACGCTGCCTTCCGCGAGGTATCTGAATAATAGGTACACTCGTGGACAAATTGCAAGTAGTAGCTATTGAATAAACTACCTTTAAAAAAGTACGGGTGGTAGGACCCCTCGTGAGTCCACAAGGGTAGGTACCACCATCCCGCCTATATCTGCCGTGAAGCAATAATGCGTTTCGGTTTGAAGAGTGGGGCAGCCGTTGTAACTGTACTGAGACTTTAGAACTTATATCTCAAGATGGATGGCGCATTTACGTTGTAGATGTCTATGGGCTCAATTAACCACTTAACACCAGGTGGACTGTTAGCTCGTCTACCCATCTAAGCAATAAAAGCAAAATATTGTTCTGCCATGATATGTTTGAAAAACAACGTTCGAACTACTGAGTAACGTCATCTGCTCGGTGGATTCCTTTCACAACCATAACTATTATTTGTATAACAGTCCGTTTGCTGTAAGAATACAAGGCAGCGGGGAGAAATGGTATCCGCGCGAAATCCTTCATCTTGTCCTCGGTGTGCTTTGGGTGAATTGTGCCTCATCTGAGTTCTGAGTTCTGTTTTCTGCGAGATTCGGATGCAGATTGTTGAGCGAAAGGATATTTTAGTCGGTTTATCTCTGATATCTCTCTGCCGCCCTTATGCATAGGCGGAGTTTGGCGTTCTGTTTCCTCCTGACCGAAAAAAGGGCTTAAGAATATTATATACCTAAATCATGTGCAGCGATAAGGTCGGCCGGGTCGAGGTGTGTGGCCGCCGTGAGGGTTTCGGCTGCTTCCCGCCACGCCAGCTCCGGCGCCGCGTCCTCCGACAGCGACGCTTGCAGCGACGACAGCGCGAGCGTCACGCGCGCCGCGCACGAGTACGGATCGTCACGAGACGCTGACTCTGATAGTGAACGAGCTTCACTCCAGTTGCCCAGCTTGAATGTAAACAAAAAAAAAACAATAGCACATTGTTGTCTGTTCCGTTGGTTGTGTTAGTTTCTAACGCGACTCGAACAGAAAAACTACGATCGAATTATTCTAAAGCACTACATATTATTTATTATTACAGACCGAATCAAAAAGCTTCTAATTCGATGTCTCTGATTAGTAACACTACCTTTTAATGGGTCCAAAGAATTACAAAAACCACAGAATTGAAGACTTAAACCATGATTAGAAAAAAATCTTTATTGGTGTCAAAAGACAGTGATTTATCAAATATTAATCGGCAGAGACTCTGTATGGTTGATCAACGTACAACGACTATTTCGTATAGCAAAGGTTTGTTTGGCGAAGGATATAACGAATTATTCCAACTTAGCCCGACCGTATAATGTGCGTTGTGCTTGTGAAATGTCATTCCCGCTCCTGCGGACAGAACGGAAAGCAGTCGACGTCGCCCCAAACATGTCATTTCGGATCCTCCCGATCCACTAACGGTGCTTTTAGGTCCCTCAAGCACCGGTCATCGTTCTCGTTGAACCCGTCGCTTGCGACGAAGGGCTCGACGAGTAAATTAACCCATAGACACAGCCCACTGAGTTTCTCGCCGGATCTTCTCAGTGGGTCGCGTTTCCGATCCGGTGGTAGATTCTGCGAAGCACGGCTCTTGCTAGGGTTCGTGTTAGCAACGTCGTCAGGTTTGAGCCCCGTGAGCTCACCTACTAGTTAAGGTTACGCTGATATAGCCTCTCAAGGCTCTCAGCTTAGGTAGGAAAAAAAAAGTGAAATGTAAAACTTACGGCGTAGGCAACGAAGGCTGCATCAGCATTGGCCTCGGCTCGTAGCACTCGGTCCTCAGCGTGCGCCTTCGCAACGGCCTTCAGTCGCTGCAGTACGGCGAGCCCGGAGCGGGCGGTGCGAGACGCGCGCAGGGACGCAAGCGCTGCGCCTAACTCCAGCCGCCCCCCCGCCGCGCCGCCCGCGCCCCCCGCACCGCTGTACCCGCGCAGCGCCTCCACACACCACGACATGCCAGTGCTACCCCATATAACACCGCTCTCTTTAATCAGTGCTGAAGCCAGATTTGAGCCCCGTGAGTTCACCTACTCGTCCGGTAACGCTAATATAGCCTCTCAAGGCTATCAGCATAGGTAGAAAAAAAAAACAGTGCCGAAAGGCAGTTAATAAATAAACATCATGCACAATACCAACGCGACTTCTTAGAATAACGATTTCTACCTCCCACACCAAGGCAGATAATTACCTCGCGGCAACACGATGGGTCCGTCCCGTGTGGACCTACAACAGGCACCCAACGGGCTATGCTTCTGATGTCGAGGAGCAACGTTGACCAGTCATTGGCAGGTATGTGAACGAAAGCACAAAAAAACTACGATCTTAATAAATTTGCCTATTTCGTTTTATTAGTCGTTAGCGAAAACTCATGCACATAAATTTCATCTAGTGAAAACCGCTCTCACGATCCGCTGTGACTATAGCTAATTGCATGAAAAATAACTAGCCCGGACAATAATTATGCTATAAAATATACTATAGCAAAAACCTTCCCTGGGGTATCAAAAGCAAGACAACTGTTTCATCATCGGATGAATGGTTTAGAAAGCAGATATTGATTTTTATTTAAATGTATTGGTACTTGTTACACTATCGCAAGGGATCGAAATATTAACCGCCTTGGAATAATAGTAATCTACCATTTGTACCGAAAAACATGACTAAGACTATCATTACCGGCAAACGGAGATTTTGCGTGCAAGGACTCGGTTCACTCTATTAAATTATATAATGGACAGTCACCCCGAATCATCGTCCGTCCCCGCTGTGGGTGTGAGGACCGCAGCGGCCAGTGCCAAACATCGTTCAGCTTCAGCGGCCGCGCGCCGAGACCAGCGAGACAGTTTATCTCCGCGTGACACGTCACGGACAACGCACTCGTAAGTATCTTTCTCCTGAAATTTTAAACGATATTACAACAAACAACATCACAGCTCCTTGGAGGTAGGTACTGGTGGTAGGAGCTCTTGTGAGTCCGCACGAGTAGGTACCACCGCCTTGCCTATTTCTGGCGTGAAGCAGTAATGCGTTTCGGTTTGAAGGGTGGGGCAGCCGTTGTAAACATTACAACTACTACTCGTCAACCCATCTAAGCAATAAATAAACAAAAAAGGTAAAGAGTGTTATGAACTCAAACAAGTAGCTTGTAGGTTATAGATCTTAGCGACTAGCTTTTGTTCAATGCAAATCATTAGCCCCACATTCTTGTCGTAGTAAGACTCTACGACGTAAAGCACCCTTGGTATTTATATAGTTTCTATAGCTACTAATTACGGGTTACCAGATGGTTACATAAGATGAATCTTAAGCTTCTATTTTTGAAATGAAAAAAAAAAAAACATATTCCTTTGATACCAGCAAAGATCAGGTGCCCAATGTTATTATGAAAGGTGCGCCGAATATAATTGATTTTAAACGCTGGGTAAATACAGTGATAATTTTAGTAAATCTAAATTTATTTTATTTCGGAAAATATTCATATTGAATCTTAGTTTTTAATAGAAACCGAAATGAAAACGATATGTCTGTAAGTTAGCTTACGTCATCAATAGGAATGTCCTGGTGGTAAGTCGGCGGTTCGACATCCAGCATTGCATGGAAAGCAGCTTTCCCTCCTTCTGCGTCACTGAGTGCCACAGAGCATAAAACCAGGTGTAGACCTAGACGCAACGTAACAGATACAAATTAACTTCAAAAAAGGAAGAGGCTTTTCAATTCGAAGTTAGTGCCAGATCCGTCCTGTTGCTGAAAGAGGAATTTGGAGAACGCCGGTGGACTTAGTATAGGTTTAAGGGGTCCCTATCAATGCGTATTACGCTCACCTCCGTTCTCCACATTTCCTTCCCTGCCTAGCTTTTGGTACGCAGCGGCTTGGCTCTGTCCCTGGCATTGCTGAAATCCATGGGCGACAGTAAACATTCACCATCACGTAGGCCGTGTCTCGCGCGCCGCCGCTCGTTTGCCCCCAAGGCTAATAAAATATTAAAAATAAATAATAGCCAATTTGATAAGAACCTACTTGTAGGCTTTAGTTGTTCATTCAAATATAGAATTTACGACAATTCTTGACAAGTCAAGGTAATATAGCAGGTTTCGTTTTCGTACTTTTCACCGCTATACCTCTAGCTCCCACTTCGACAAAAAAAAAAACTAACCACGTATTCGCTTTTGGTTAGGTCAGTCTTAAGATCATAGTATTGGTTTCTTTCTTTTATTTTTTGTGTTCTTTAGGTATAGTTATTTCCCACGGTACCTACAGTAAACTTTACTAGAACTTTATGTTTGGATATAGAAAATTGAAATATTTCCGGCCTGGAACACGAAACTACGACATCCTCGAAGATCAAAACAGTCCAATCAGGTGCAGACCCTAGGATAACTTAAGTGAGGCTTGTAAAATTTTATAGTTGAGCCTTCTCTAAAGACATTTCTCTTTTGTTTGTCAATCGTTATTGAGGTCTAGCTAGTGAGAGATTAACTGCTTCACGTATGATTCCCAGTAGGTATTTATCATGGCGGCATGAGTAACGACCCCTGTCCAAGAGCACCTTAAACCCACTAATGCATTAAATACCGTAATACTCTGTGCGAATGTTATACACAGAGTTAGTTGCTTTACACATACCCACGTAAATAATGAATATTTTCTTGAACATAATTCCTAATCTCTCGTTAGTTAAATAATTAAAGCACTCTTATCATAGGACGGTCTCATAGATAGCCCTTTAAATACATTTGGAATTACACCCGATATCTTGGATGCTATCTGTAATGTTCGCAAGTATTTGTTTGTTCTATTTGAAAACCTTTTTTTAACGTGCTACTAGTAGACTCGAGAAGCTATTCTGTAGATGAGCTTACGAGGCTCAGCCATAGAAACAGCTTAAACAGCTTACAGCAATTCTAGTAAGAACAGCGCTTCGCAGAGTCTACCACTGGATTGAAATCGCAACCTACTGAGAAAATCCGGAAAAAAATTCAGTCGGTTGGGTCTGCGGGAAACTAAATTAGCTATATGCATTATTTATATCAGGAAAAAAAATAAGGCGACTAGGTTTAAAACAATCCCATACCTGTTTGAAAATCACCTTGTTCGTGCATTATGTGTTGAAAATTTGTTACAGCATCCCGAAATTTTCCCATACGAACCAAGAGGAGACCAATGTTATGCATTACTTTCATTCTGCAACATGTATACATTTGAAATATTTATACGTGTAGACTTGGATTCTTAACTATGTTTTGTATAGGTACCAGGTAGGGAAAGGTAGGCATAGGCATAAGGGAATATATACCACACATATTTGTATGACGAAAGGTTAGCTCGAATAACAACGATACCACTTTTTTAATATACCTACTTTAAATTCAAACATGTTTTGTAATTTTATGTTAATCACCGGTCACGTTTATTCACGATTATGAAAACGGTATAAATGAGTCTGAATCGGCATTATAATGGCATGCTTAGCTACATGATGGAGTTCAGAAATCTTCGACGTCTGAATGTATGCATACTTGTCTCGTGTTAGTGTTTCTGGTACTCATACTTAAGACAGAAGAAACTTCTAGTGCTCTGAATGAGAATGTTTGCTGTACGTAAATTCCCTAACCCGCCTTGAGACAAGAGGTCTAAAATTATAAATTGCGTAATTACTGGTGGTAGGACCTCTTGTGAGTCCGCACGGGTAGGTACCACCACCCCGCCTATTTTCCGCCGTGAAGCAGTAATGGGTTTCGGTTCGAAGGGTGGGGTAATCGTTGTAACTATAGTGAAACTTTAGAACTTATATCTCGAGGTGGTTGGCGCATTTACGTTGTAGATGTCTATGGGCTCCAGTAACCACTTAACATCAGGTGGGCTGTGAGCTCATCCATCCATCTAAGCAATAAAAAAATAAATAAAAAAAACATTATATTGTAAACCGGTTATCTTAACCTTCATACACGAACGTACGTGTGCTTCAGAAAAATAGTGGCACCTACCCACAGAACTACATTTTACCATATCTAAATGACATTGCATAGTTATAGTAGATGTTTATATTGACCATTTTTATTTCTTCGCCGTAAATGACAGTATGGTGTAACGTGTTCATTTTTTTTATAATTTATTGTTATATAATTATCGCATATTACTTAAGTATACAGTATATTAATTATTTAAATGATTATACTGCGCGTACCTCAAATCTTTTTCGGCAGTCGGCGTTTGATCTAGTGCCATCCTATAAAGCTTCAAAGCTTTTGGATGTTCTCCCATTTTAAAATAAATATTTCCCATGTTCACCTGTACATACAAGAAATATAAGTTATTATGTCGTAAAGTTATTTTTCAATAAGAATTGTATGAAGTTCTATATTCGTTTGGTACCTTGAGTCGGTTAGCATGCGGAAACAACTTGTTTCTAGTCAGCAACTGATACGTGTTCAGTGCTTCAGTGTACATCTCGTTCAGTGCGTACTGATCCGCCAAGTTACAAAGCACCTGCAATTTATCATAATAATATTGAATTTCTTTTTATCTTTAAACAAGATATAATACCTAATTGTATGTTTAATTATCTATGCATACGAACATCGCTCACATCACATGATGGACTTGGAAATTAAATAGCACAAATGCTAGAATTTCAGGGAAGGTTTTTGAAGTAGTATCATCTACGTATCACGGGTGGCAGCGAGTAGATTTAGCCCTTTGACTGCCCTGTAGGTCACCTGTGCCCTACGTGGCGCACTAAACTAATGAATTCGATTTCTTTTACGAAGGCACTTGGATTGCCTAACTTTACCTTTTCTTCTCTATTAATGTACCTTTTAGTTTTTAAGGTCTCTTCGCAATATATTCATTCTCAGTATCTTCGGACTCGTCTTTTCCAGAGTCTACTAGATGTTCCACCGCCTTAGTAACATAAATCAACACGTCACGTGGGGCACCGGTGGCTTACATGGCACTCAAAGAGTTAATAAATGGGTGTATTTCATACATAGTCTGTGACAGTGAAGGATTGTCACGGACAATGTGACAAGGTTTAGGTTTTAAACTTTATTCAGCTTACAAAGCGGCTATGGCTGCTTTAAAATATTTTTTTATACTTTAGATTTTGTAGTATTACTAATATAATTTACGTAATTGCTAACGGTAAAGTTTCTTGGTAGCCCACACGGATAAGTGCGATAATCCTGCCTATTTTTCCGCAGTTGTCATACAAAAAGTACGAAGTTAAGTCGTACATACAGCAAAAGTTAAATCCAAGTTGTGAGTGTCACCCAAGTTCGCTTGTTCTTGCATGCGAATAAGCTGTCGTTCCATCGTGGACGCCTCTTGAGCCTTTGCAAGTGCCTTTAAAATAACGATTTCTTTTTTATTCGTCACATTAGATCAATTTACATACTTCCATGTAATATTATGTTAAATATAATTACAACAGACGAGATAAACTTTTTTACAAGAATTTATTTTTACATCGCGTACGTCATTGATAAAAACGTTCGAGGGCCGTAGTAGCGTTGAAAAAAAAATAGTCAAGGGATTTAAATTTCCGTAGAGTCGCATCGCTTTATAATCATTCCAATCACATTTTTCCAATCACAGATCGCCTTCTATTATGTGTATAAACCTAATAAACATTATCGCAATTGTATTATCTTATTAAAAATTCAACAACAGCTAACCTGGCCCAAGTCATGTTCTTTTCTAGTAGTACTATCATCATCGGGATCTGGTCGGGCGCTCAGTAAACAAGACTCCTCCACCAATGCCATGATTCGTGCTTCCATTTGCTTAACGCGATCTTCGACGCTGTAACACGCATCAATTTAATTTATAGTCAAACTAAATTTACTTGCTAAATATCAATGTCGACTACTACTGGTACTCTAGAAAGAGTTGAAATATTTTGGACAACATTTTGGGACAATTCAGTGATATTCTAAAAACAAGATATTATAAATAATAACATCTTTAAATAATATTATAATAGATACGTATGAAATTTAACTTTTCTTTTTATTACATTGACGAATCAGTGATTAAGTAGAATTTTCATCATTAATCGAACATTAATATTTCGAACTTTTAATCTCGAATTTAATAAATAAATTAAATTCAATAATATTAATAAATAAATTTCAATTAGTAATTTGTTATTTCGTATTTAGAAATTTGATGTTGATTGAAAAATGATTAAATACACCTGTCTTCCAAATGTTGAGTGGGCATGGGTCGATCGCGTGACGCCGAGGTGTACCCAGCAGCGCGCAATGCGGTCACGGGACGTGCTGATGTGCCGGACCTCGAACCCACGTCTCGCATGCTTACCGTGCCAAGCCGTACCATCTACCAATTATAATTACGTTCCTCTAAGACGCATTAGCAGTAGCGCAGTCTACCTGGAGATTAAGACTCTGATTCTGACTGACTGAACAGAATTAGGCAAATGGCTACGTTGATAAGGAGTCGGATCGAACATATACCATCATTTTAGTAAATATGTTAACATGATCGTCTCAATTACGCCATCTACCCTTGAGAATATTACAAAGTCCAGCAATGAAAATATATACGTTTTTTACTAAATTTACAAAATGCAAATATGTAATATTTAATAAATAATGAAGTGGTGGAGAATCGAATGAGTACTGACCCCAGTGCCCGTACGACTGGGTAACTTTCTCCCGATCCCAGCCGTTCTCAAAGTTTCCTGGAACGTTTCGTCTTCCCTCAGGTTCCGCGTGTCCAGGGCCGGAGCCACTTCATTAAACCCGGAATAAAGTTCGTCATCTTCATCAACAATGATGGCCGTACGAGGTTTTGCGTCGGTGCCCATTCGGGACGCGCTGTAGTACCGAGAACTTAGCATCGCTTAAATCTCTTAAAAATAAATTTATCAAGTGAAATCTTATTGGAGTATTCCGACCTGTTTAATCACGTTTAATACGTATGTTGTGACGCCGTTGCCATGTCAACCGGCTGATATAAACAAAAAAGACAATTGTTCAATCTCCATAGATCAAACGTTTTTTTTTTTTTCGTTAATAAGTTTGCTGGTTGCCCGAAGGCCTTTCTAGTTTCACTAAGGTCTCTAATAAAACCAATAATTATTTACGTATACCTAAATATGTACATTTAACAGGTCCTATTCGTTGTACGATTCCGCTTTGTATGTTAAAGCCCTAAACACATCATTTCGGATCCTCCTGATACTTTTAGGTACCTCAAGCACCGGTCATCGTTCTCGTCAAACCCATGGCTTGCGACAAAGGGCTCGGCGGGTAAAGTAACTAACAGACACAGCCCCAATGGCGGATCCAAGGGGGGGGTCATGGGGGTCATGACCACCCCCTGGTTCCAGGACTTAGGTGGGCCACCAATTGAATATAATGATTTTATTTATATATTTTGTCACCATACAGATTTTATGTAACTACATACCTTCAATATTTAATTAATTTAATATAATATAATAACTTTGTATAATGGCAAACGTTTGGGAACGAACGCATCTAAATTTGACTATTTGACCCCCTCCTGGCGTCAAAGCNCATTAGTTGGATGAGCCCACAGATATAAATCAAGACTTGATTTATTATTGGATCCAATAAATCTTGATATTATTTCTGTGGATGAGCCTAAGGAACGACTGTTCTTAAGCTGCTTACGAAGACCGTAGGTATAATAACCACCAATAAACCATCCAACTATAGAGATGTGTCGAAGTCTTGAGTGTCATATATAACGATTGTTCTCACCAAATTAATTTAATGTGAGCTCACGAGCTCCATCTGAGGGCTTTTGCTAATACTAGCTCTAGGAAGAACAGTGCTTCGCAGAATCTACCACCGGGTCGGAATCGCGACTTACTGATAAGATCCGGCAAGAAACTTAGTGGATTGTGTCTATGGGATCGATTAAGTACTAAGAATTGGCATTAATAATGTTTAATAATTAATATTTTTTTACTGGTGGTAGGATGTCTTGTGAGTCCGCACGGGTAGGGTGTTGGCGTAAGGTGGGCTGTGAACCCACCTGGTTTTATGTCTACTAATCTAAGCAATAAAAAAAATTGGTAACTAAAAGATTAGTACTAATAATAAGTGGCTGTTAGTATTACGGAATGATAATAGAACACAACCTGTATCTATAGCTTAAGAATGGTAATATACCAACAGTAAGGGTAATGGGACGTTGACCCGTACATTCTGATAAATAGTCAGACCGACTCGTTTATAATTCTCTATGCAAAAAGTTTTGAATTTAAAAGTTTATTTTGACAGTTAGTTACTTACTTAATTCATCAAAATCAGTTAAAGTGGTTGGAGCGTGAAAATTTAAAAGATACGCGGAGTTGTTTTCATTTCAATAACAATATTTGCGATGTAACTTTTAACATTTGACGTCAAAATTTAGCTTGACTTAAAATGATCATATAAGATCCGATTTCATTGAAACAAAACTTAATTTTAACAAAACCGAATTATATTTACCTGTGTATAACTACATCAAAATTCGATCACTAGTTCCAGGGATATTTGAGACAACTAAATAGATAGAGAAACAGAAAATAATTAGAAAAATCATTACAAAATTTGTATTCCCATCTTTTTATTATTAGCTTTCTTTAATATACAGATACATAAATCTACTTCCACTGTTTTACTATAACCAGACTAGACGATCACCGAGCTTTGCCCGGTTTTTTTTGTTGATAATTTGTGTTTTTCGGTTGGTTTAACAACGCCATCTCCTGAAATAGCTTTAGTGTTATTGTGTCTTTAAAGCAGTTAGTTGCTCTTAATTATAAAAAATAGTATTATTATTCGCCAAGAGATGTCGGGAAGAGTCATAGAGTCATGATTATTGATAAAGTTGATTATTGAAAACACGAATAAAACAACATTTTCTGAAAATAAATTGTAGCTAGATCGATTTATCGCCCCCGAAATCCCGTGTATACTAAATTTTATAAAAATCGGTTCTCTTTGTCACGCCACTCCATTTTAATATCGTAAAATATTGTACAATGTATTGGCACCAAAATGAGAAAACTCAATGAGATAAGTATATACTTAGTCTGGCAAATACTGTTACAATTAAAAATAAACAAAATATTACATTTGAATTTGGAATTTGTCATTTTTATATGATTACTCATTGAGTTAAAATGATTGCTCATTAAAATGGAGTGGGGTGATAAAGAGAACTGAATCGCTGTGATTGCATTACACAAAGTAGGTATGGAGCCAAATGCAATTTCTAAAACTCTCCATACGCTTGGTATTAGTAAAATGTTTGTGTACCGGGCTACTAATAGGTGCAATGAGACCTCCTCTGTTTGTGACAGAAAAAGATCTGGCCGTCCACGTAGTGTTCGTACGAAAAAGGTGGTCAAAGCAGTAAGGGAAAGAATTCGAAGAAATCCTGTCCGAAAGCAAAATATTTTATCTCGGGAGATGAAGATAGCACCCAGAACCATGTCGTGTATTTTAAAAGATGACTTAGGACTCGCAGTCTATAAGAGACGTACTGGTCATTTCTTAACTGATAATTTAAAAGAGAATAGGGTGGTAAAATCGAAACAACTACTAAAGCGGTACGCAAAGGGAGGTCATTTTTTCTTTTTTTTTTTTTCCACAGGAGAAAATCGCCGGATCCCCACCCGCGCGGCAGGTGGGGTATGTGGGAGTTGAACCTCACTAAAAACTCCTGCCGCTCACAACCGGCGCCCTACCTAAGGGAGGTCATAGAAAAATTTTGTATACGGAAGAGAATTTTTTTACAATCGAGCAACATTTTAACAAACAAAACGACCGTATTTATGCTCAAAGCTCTAAGGAAGCTTCCCGATTAGTCGACAGAGTGCAACGTAGGCACTATCCGACTTCAGTGATGGTTTGATGGGGTATTAGCTATGAAGGTGTGACTGAGCCATACTTTTGTGAAAAAGGTATCAAAACATCGGAACAAATGTACCAAGATACCATTCTTGAGAAGATAGTGAAGCCCCTTAACAACACCATGTTCAATAATCAAGAATGGTCCTTCCAGCAAGACTCGGCGCCAGGCCATAAAGCTCGGTCTACGCAGTCTTGGTTGAAAACGAACGTTTCAGACTTCATTAGAGCTGAAGACTGGCCGTCGTCTAGTCCCGATCTTAATCCGCTGGATTATGATTTATGGTCAGTTTTAGAAAGTACGGCTTTCTCTAAACGCCATGATAATTTGGAGTCCCTACAACAATCCGTACGTTTGGTACTGAAAAATTTTCCCATGGAAAGAGTGCGTGCTTCTATTGATAACTGGCCTCAACGTTTAAAGGACTGTATTGCAGCCAATGGAGACCACTTCGAATAAACTTTTTATACTTTAAATTGTTTTATATTTATGTATTAAACTAACACACTGTAAAAGTAATAAGTGTTATTTGCAATAGATTTTTTTTTTCCTTTGTCTCAGTATTTATGGCAAGACTAGGTATATACCTAGTCAGGTCATAAATTCTGTCACATGTTTAATGTAAAATAATTGAAACAAGTTTATTCATTATGTAACCATTCATATACCAAAATGAACTTAACAAAACATAGATTCTTATGACACTAAAGTTTATTCAAAATGACCTCCGTGATTTTGAATACAGGCCTTCAATCTGCGCGGCCAGTCGTCTATCGCAGCACGAACGAGGTCCATGTCAATATCGGCGGCTGCCTTAATCAAGGATGTCTTGAGTGACTCCAAATTGGGATGAGGCTTTGAGCACGCCTTTTCCTCCAAGTGTTGCCATATCTTGTAATCTAACGGATTCAAATCTGGACTGGAGGAGGGCCAGTCTTCGTGCCGGATGAAGTCGATTTCACGCGCCGCCAGCCAGTCTTGTGTGCTCTTCGCTCTATGAGCTGGCGCCGAATCTTGTTGGAATACCCAGTGCCTGTTATTGAACATGGTATGAGAAACAGGTTCCACAAGGTTCGTCAGGACTGTATTTTGATACACAACTGCATTCGTTTTTACACCTTTCTCACAAAAATGTACCTCTGTTAAGCCCCAATAAGAAACTCCCAACCATACCATGAGCGAGGATGGAAAATGACCTCGTTGGACACGCGGAATACGGTTGCTCGCTTCTTCACTACTGTGTGCGTACACCTTATCATTTTGTTTGTTGTAGCTCTCTTCTACGGTAAAAATTTTTTCATCCGAAAAAAGAATTTCCCGATATTTTTTTCCCGCGTACCGCTTCAACAAAGCGCGGCATCTCTTCAGTCTCAGGTCCATTAGACGAGCATTCAAACGATGTCCTGTTTTTCTTCGATATGCCCGAAGCCCTAAGTCTTCATTTAACACCCTTTTCACCGTGGTTCTGCTTAACCCCATCTGAAGGGCCAACAGTTTCTGCTTACGTTTGGGATTTCTTTGAATTCGCGCCTTCACAGCTTTTATCACTGCTGGAGTCCTAACAGACCGAGGGCGACCACTTCTTGACCTGTCATCTACACTAGAGTCTTCATTGTATCGTTTGATGGTACGATAAACGAATCTTTTGGTTATATTCAAATTTTTCAGTATGTTAAAAATTTGAATTGGCGCGTAACCGCAACGATGCAACGCAATAACTGCAACACGATCTTCTTTAAGCGTCCACTCCATATTTAAAAATGAGTAAAATTCTAAACATTTTTATTTTCATGAACAATTCGAAATTCGGAGTCAATAAACTTTTTTGTGGCCAGCATTCTAAAAGAAAAGTTTTTACTGTGTGACAATACTTATGACCTGACCAGTTATATACAAGAATTGCTCGTTTAAAGGTTAAATTGATTATGTATATTTCATATGTATTTTTTTTGTAATTGTATCCATTTTTTACGGAATCTTGTTCAGGCTAATGCATTATTCAATTGTTTTCCGTTCGATTACGTTTTTATTCGCGAACTACGTGAACGTAAACACGTTGATCGCTTAAGCCCTATTTTAAGAAAAGAAGAAGAAGAAGAAGAAAATAATTAAGAAAAAGAAACAAACAATTTTATGTTTTAATTTTGCAGTTCAATGTTATGAGTTGAAGTCCAAAGTCCATGACTTTTAAAAATGCTAGAGCCACAATTTATTAATCAAAAACATGTCTGTGATTTCAAATTTGTTTTTATTATGATCTGGTACTTAATCTTTGTTCACAACGCCAATTATTTGATGCATCTGTCGGTATTGATAAATGTTTTTTCTTTAACATTAACGCCACCTATATAGATGGTCTGATGTACATAATATGTTCTTATTATCTGGCTTAGAGGTTATCCTGTGTATAAGACAGACAATGCTTGCAGTGTTACTTCATTATTGTTTTACGTTTTAGTTGTGTAATCTTGCTTAATTTTTCGATAACACATTTTCTATCTATCTGTCTCTTAGGTTTATGGCGTTTCCTTTTAGATTTCGCCAATGTCAAGTGTATTTAATACTCTGCTTTCTATAGCGGGCTTCGTGAACGAGCAAGGTCACAGATATTCACTAAGAATTAAGTGAGTAGCTAAGAATGGTACATTCCAAACTGAGGGGTCTGACAGCTGTCAAAAGTATTGACATTTTATAGGTTTCATACTTCAGTGAATTTTAGGCATGCACATTGTATTGGTAAAGACTGACTAATAGGGCAAGCTATCATTACCGTACTTTTGTTAAGTAGGTCGGTATATTTTGAGATTTATTATAGAGAATTCTTTTTTTTTTCTTGAGGTAATCTGGCAACTGTGACAGTGTTGTATAAATAATGCAATACTGTTTATGAAACACTAAATTGTAGATGGTTGTGTAAGCTCCTTGTGATATTCAACTAAGTTATAATAAATTGAACAAATTTAAAAGCTTTTTAATAGTTTTCCAGTTAATCCACAAACACAATTATGAACCACGCTATTGTAAAAAACATAATATATTCTTAATAATGGCAAAGTTGCGTCCCGAAGATCATTTAGTAGATTTGAAATTATTTGATGTTAAGATTTTATTTGGGTTTGATGACACAAAAATCAGAGTCATCTAATTTATTTATATATTATTTTGTTTATATGTGTTTTATATGTATATATTTATGATATGTATATGTATATATTTATGTGTATCTATAAATATTATGTATTTTATATATACACATATGTTTAAGTAATATCACCTTCACACTACACCTACCAAGCTTCATCTCTGCACTCCCCTAAGGTAGACTGTTAGAGAATGCCTATGGCATTAAGTCCGCCTTTATACTTTATGTAGTATATGAAGTTATAAATAAATAAATAAAAAAGAAAATTCGTTGTTTTAATTAAACTTTATAAAACAATTCGTCTAAGGGTACTTTCTTGAAGTAAGTGTTTATATTTTGAATGAACAAGTTCATTGCGAAACGGAAAGCAGGTCCCTCGGCGTACTTGCTGGCTGCCAACCAATTCTCGTTCAAGCGTTTTAATATCTTAGCAGCTAAAAAAAAACAAAAATTATGTTCACTAAAGTTGATTCTGATCACCTGTTCAATATCTGTCAGTCCTTGTAGGATAGTAGATATTTAAAAAAAATCTTATTTACCCAGGACCTAACTTTTTAACTTTTTGAAGTGAGTGTGAAAGTTTTAAGACTGCTCGATGCTATTCTTTCATTGTTAGTGCGTCTTAGTAAATACGTATTTATTTCATTCACGGATGCACAATTTCCAATTAATGTTTAGAAAATTATTTTATAAAGTAAAATCTCACCAAGTTCGTCATTATCTTTGTTTATATGTTCAAATCCAATTACAACATTAGTTCTTTCATGATGTTCTATTTGAGCTGTCCTAATTAATATATGCTCTTTGTCAGTGTCACTCTTATATTTTTCAAGGTCAGCATCAATTTGGATATGTATATTTTCTGAAATAGTTGTTATTATTTATTGTCTTACAACGTATTAAACTGTTTTATATATTAGTTCACCCAGTTTATTATTATTATTAGCGGGGAGTGTGCAAGGAATAAAATTATGTTCGTTCCTATTTTAGTACCCTCAAGGGATTATACTAAATTTCCACCATGCCATGGTTTGATATGCTTTTTAGCGTGCACACCACCGCCGTTTTTGAAATACAATTAGAAATAAACAGAGTTGGGAGATATGATGTAGTCAATTGATGAATATTGCGCAGAGGCTATTTCCGTTAACACTGAAGATACATGAATAATATTTATATGTATATAACTGCCTAATATACCCACCAGTCACGACAGTTCCATTTCCTTTGCCATTTATAATATTTTCAAACATCTGTCCATTCATTTCGTAATCTCCTTTTAGCACCAACGATGGACACAATAAGTCGTAAATAAACTTTGATGTTTCTAATTTAAGCCTGTAAATAAGACGTGGTAGAAAATGTTATGATTTAAATTTATATTAACATAATTTTATTGTAATGTACCCCTGAAAGGAAATTAAAAATGTGGCCTGGACATTCGACAGCGGCATAGCTATGTTGTTTACGTCTACGAAGATATCAACTAATCCATATTTTACTGATTTATATTACTGATTTTAATACGCTCAAAGGAAATTGAAAATAATAGAATTAGAATAATAAGTTTTGATTGTAACTTACAAAGCATTGGTAACAATGCAATCCTTGTAGCCCGTCATTACTGCATTCCTGAAGATATATGTCAATTTAGGTAACACTCCAATTATTATTTCCATCTTTAGTGGATCTGAAGGCTTAACTCCGAGTGTTGGGATCCCAGCAGCAATCGCGGGAAGAGTTTCGTTAAATGAGTTAGTAATGCATTCTTCATCGTTAAAATCACATGGGGTCCTCGATGCATCTAGAATTGTTGCAAAATAATTTTTGTTTTTATTAAAAAAATCTTCATGCCAATTTGTAATTGGGATTTCCATTTTTTTTAAGTATCCTCTATCCTAATCTATTTAAATTGGCCTTTTGATTTTCCGATTTCTTTTGATATCACTGAGTCATTACGAATCCTTTCGATCTATTACAGGTTCTTTTAGGTACCTCAAGCACCGGTCGCCGTCCTCGCCGAACACGTCGCTGGCGACGAAGGGCTCGACGAGTAAATTAACCCATAGACACAGCCCACTGAGTTTCTCCCCGGAACCTCTCAGTGAGTCGCGTTTCTGATCCGGTGGTAGATTTTGAGAAGCACTGCTCTTGCTAGGGTCAGTGTTAGCAACATTCCGGTTTGAGCCCCGTGAGCTCACCCACACGACAAGGAGAATGTGAAATAGCCTCTCAANGTCGCTGGCGACGAAGGGCTCGACGAGTAAATTAACCCATAGACACAGCCCACTGAGTTTCTCCCCGGAACCTCTCAGTGAGTCGCGTTTCTGATCCGGTGGTAGATTTTGAGAAGCACTGCTCTTGCTAGGGTCAGTGTTAGCAACATTCCGGTTTGAGCCCCGTGAGCTCACCCACACGACAAGGAGAATGTGAAATAGCCTCTCAAGGCTATCAGCATAGGTAGGAGGAAAAAAATTTATCACTGACTGCGTGATGTGAACAGTGAAAAACTTGCGTAATTTAAAAAAATATCTAAATCTTTAACTTTTTGGTGTTGCTATAATGGCCGACCGAGACTGTGATGTCATTTCAGTTTTATAACGGAGGGAACCACGTCTCAACGAAGAAGTACCTAGAGTACGGAGGTTCCAATTTCAGAATTCAGTGCTGGAAGTGTGATCTCGGTGCTCTAGTCGTCGGCCATCCAAACCGTCGAGGCAGTGCACCCGGTACACTCGGGACTGTGTAAACCACGGAATAGATGAATAATCTATTCTATTAATAGTATGTATATATTTAATAATCTATTCTAATAGATGAATAATCTATTCCGTGGTGTAAACAAACTGCGACCAAGGCTGTCTCATCTTCTGTTTGAAGCAGATGCTCACCGGCCACAGCTATTTCGCCGGTATCTACACCGCGTCGCATTGAGCGAACCCACATAGTAGTGCCAGCACTGGTTGCAACGAGTACACGGCCGATCGAGGATTGACCTGCGAGACGTAAAGTCATCAAGGAGTAGACTGGTGGGTAGCGCCCAAAACTTTGGAGTCCCATATACTTTTTTAGAACTTCGTAGGAGATTCGACCCCACGGTCCAAAGAAAACAAAAAGATCGACTCACATGAGGTTCGGCTTGTCAAGCAGAGGATGAACAGAGTGGTGAAAACCAGCGTCATCTTTGTCGAAGGTCCGAAAATTGAATGCCTCAAAAAACCAAGCTCAGATTAAATATATAAATATAAAACGGTAGACAATCTGATAGTAACTAAGATTGTGTTGTTATATAGTTTTCGTAGAATGCTTTGTCTGTCTGTTTAACTGTTTGTTTTGTTTTGTTTTGACTTATTTAAGACTGATTCATTCTAAGCGGTGCACGGTTATTGCAAAAAGAACTTACGTGCTTAATTTGTGGATAATTTATGTATAGAGTTTACTCTTCAGTGATTCTTCTGATCCACTCTCAGTGCTGTTGGAAGCTAGTGATAGCAGCAACAAAAGCACAAGAATTCGTTGAGTTTCTCGGTTGATCTTCTCAGCCGGTCGCGATTTCTATCCGGTGGTAGATGCAGTCACGAAACCTTTTTCTTAAAATGAGGGATTACCGGTGGGTCATAGGCCTATCGAGTTTCACCAGGACAGGTAGGCTAGCAAAGGCTCAGTCGCCTTCAAAGCAGACTTAACAATTCAAGAGCATCTGCTTCGCGAACGAATCTACTACCGAATCAGAATCGCGATTCGCTGAGAAGATCCGGCGAAAAACTTAGCGGGCTGATGCATGGGTTAGATTGAACGTCCAAGTCTTTGCCGAGTTCGACGAGTGCGGTTGCCGGGATTCCCACACCTGCTCATAGCGTTAGCTGAAGGCCTCTAGAACCAATCGTTATTGGATTCGATGGATACGTAAGGACGTGTTAAGGGCGTCGATGATGATTGACTCCTGTGTGATCAAGATTCGGTGAGTAGTCAGCGGCGGCAACGATACGGTGATTATTATGACGCATAGCTTTATCGAAGTACCGTTCCGACGCTGACTTCGTGTGTTTCCGGACTGATTCAAGGCCCAGGTCATCGTGTGGGTCAACGTTCCTCACGAACTACGGAGCTCCAACGGCTCACCTGCAAAAGCGGGACTGGAGGGTGTCTATGTGTGTGCGGTGGCAAGGTGGTTCTGCGTTCGACCTCACTCTCTACTTAATGTACATTCCATACAGGCAGCCTTCTCTTGAAGGATTACTGGGGGAGGGGTCTGGGTTTGGTTATTGCCACCGGAGGCGAACACGAGGCAAGTTTTCACATTTTGATATCCTTGGGCACAGGTGACAATTCTAGAGTTATAGGTCTGATTATGATTCATTGCATCTCATATAAAGGATTAATAAAATTTAAAAACCGGTATAGAGTTTACGCGTCGAAGAGTAAATATATTAAGTAAATGTACGAGTATATGTATTGTTAGACTTCGACTTCGAATAAATATTATATCTAATAAATATGAATTTATTAAGTACACGGGCTTCAAAAATCATACAATATACGGCGCGATGTATGATTTACTGGTAGAAATAAAAAAAAATCAAACAAGGCGAAATCGCGGTGTACTCTTAGTGCTTATAATAAATATGTGCATATATAATTCCTTGTTTTCGTGTATTTTTTTTTTCTACTATTATTAAAATTTTGATTTCTTAATTGGTTTATTATTAAGCTTCTATAAATTTAAATTAATTCACCATTAGTTCCTATGAACATTTTCATTATATTTCATGGAACGAATTATAGTCAAATAAAATTAGCAGACATTTTTTGTAAATAATTTCAAGTACACCATTTAGAAAAAAACGTTCAAATAGTTTTTTTTTAAATGCTGCTTCTTCTCCAGTTTCTGCTATAGTAAGTAGGTCTAGAACAATTGAAGTCTTTCATATGTATGAGTAAGTAGCACCTCTATTCCTATTATGTCACCAAGAAGCCATACGTTTCATTTGCTGAATCGTCCGCTACACATAGCATAGGCTGGGCCGTCGGGTACCGGGTGCGGGGGCACCCGGTTCCTCAGCTGTCGGTGAGGCGGCACAAGTTCCTGCGCGCCATCCACGGTGTGAATCTCGATACGACGTCCTGTGGGATCTTCCCGAGGATGAAATTCCGTCGTATTATTAAGATGGGCGAAGGTGGGTTTCGTGGAGTTAGAGTGGTAAAGATCGATGGGCTAAACATTTAGTAGTCGGTTTTGCTGGTTGGGTCTTGCCTTGCTTATGCCACGCAGCGCTTCACGCGCCTTTCTTAAGACGTAGTCTCCCGGCAGGAATTGAAAGAAGAAGAGGACTTCTGTCTTACTCTTCTCCTTCTTCTTCCCGGGAGGTGCTATAGCCCAATATGTTATCCCCCTCGACCGGGTATCCGAAGAAGGATTTTCCAGCGTTAAAAAAAGCATGCAGGCTATCACCATGTAGGACCCAGTCGAAACCAAGGACGAAGGGCATTGCACGTTAGCCTGTAAGACCGCCCTCACATGTTACGTTCGAGTGAGGATAGTAGGTCGTCCCAAGTGGTCTCCTTCCCCACCCCGATAGCCACATGCAGGGCTCTTATCGCCGTCCTGTACACCTCGTACAGACGATCCTCCTTGGCAGGGCCCCGGCGCGTCCTTCGACGTCGACACCGCTGGTACGCGCGAAGACTGATGTCGCACAGACGGCGCCGGCGGCTACCTCGGCTCACCAGTGGACTCGGCGCTTAAGAGCGAGAGCTTTGATGCGTAGGATGTCATGCACACGTGATCTCGTCTCGCGCACGTCCTCAGGTCATCAAGCGAGTTAAAACGCCACACCTGAACTACGGCTGCCTTACGCAACCGCTCGACGTTGAGGCACTTCTGGGCCCAATGAGGACCCTATGCGCCGCCGCCGAAGGGCAAAGAGGAACCCTGAATAGACCCCACCGGGGCGCGCGAGGAAAGCTTCAAACTCGGCGAGCGTCCTATTGGAGGAGAAGTATGCTCCCAAACGAATTCCTCGGCCCAAAGAATGGCAACGAAGTTGCCACAACGTTGAACTTGGACGCACTACCTACACAACAATGCCGGACGATTGCCATTCGGTCCTTCAAATCGCAACCGATTTGGAGGTCCGAGCGGCTATCGATACGCCTCGATAACCACCGCAAGGTGGGTCAACTCTTCCGCAATGGTCCGGAACAAAAGATCCTGAACTGTGGTGGAGTGGTTGAGATTCCTCTGCAGAAATGACGCCTGTCATAAGAGGGCGTCCTTTTATATCTCCATAGTCGTTCCGGGCTGCCTTCGTGCACTCTCGAGCGTAGCAGAAGCTCCTCTTCTAGGTCTCGGTCTCGGGGACTTGGGGCTTGGAGAGTACGCAGAGCAGCGTGTGTCCGACGAGTCGTAGTATCTTTTTAAAACTGTCCATTACATTTATTTTTTATTTTTTTACATGGGATATGATTCACTGGAACAGCCATGCATTCTCTCATCGGATTTCAGAGCTTAGAATTAGGTATGAAAGGGAAAGAAGATGAAAATAAAACCAAATAAAAGCAAAATAAAACTACAAATGAAGAAGAATAGAAAAGAGTGTAAAATAAAACGGTGAACGGAAATCGAAGAAAAGAAATAGACAGATTAAAACTCAAAATAAATAAAAGTAAGTATAGTACAGTAAAAACAAAACGATAAAATAAAAAAGTAAAGGGAAAAGTGGAGGCCCATGCGTCTTCAGGAGAACCACCCTTTAACGTGGGAGGAGCGCGTTATTATCGTAACTGTTTATGGCTGTCCTACAAAATGTAATGGAAGAATTACCGTAGTCAAAGCAAGGAATTAATCTGAATGGGAAATATCTAAGCTACGAGTACCTACGCTTTGCAGACGATATTATCCTGTTCTCTGAAAGTCCATATAAGCACAACTCAATGACTAACGAACTTCAGATTGCTAGTGTTCATGCAGGTCTGGAAATGAACTTAGAAAAAACAAAAAACTTGGCCAACAACGAGATGACGCCAGTACGTACTGGTTTAGATAAGTGCCACTCGAGTGCGTAGAAAGAGTACCTTGGTAAACAAATTTCGTTTAGAAAAACCCGAAACATAGACGAAATACACAGCCGAATAGCTATTACATGGAGAAAGTACTGGGCACAAAAAGAGATTCTCAAATCGCAACTACCGTTTAAATTGAGAAATAATTTTAGATACAAGAATTTTAACCTGTCTAGCCTATGGCTGCCAAACGTGGATTTATGATCACAAGGTAAGACAAAAAATACAGAAAACTCAGAGGGCAATAAAAAGGAGCTGTTTAAATATAAAGCTGAGAGATAGAAACATAAAAATTCGGTAAATAACCAAGGTAAAGGATTCTCTACATTTGTCTCAAAGTCTCAAATGGAGATGGGCTGGCCATGCTGGGAGACACGATGACAATCGATGGACAATTAACCCCACAAAATAGAAAGGATCGCATGACGTGAGAAGTAGAGGTCGAACAGGTGCCCGGATGCAGGGCGACATTGTATTCAAAGCAGGAAGAGACTGGATGACCACTGCTAGAGATAAGGAAAAATGGAATTCTTTGGAGGAAGCTTTTACCCTGAGGGGGTCCACATTAGAAGGAGATTAAATTGCATTAACTTAGTAATATAATTATTAAATATGAAATTAATTAAGCTCTATCTAATTATCGCGGAATCAAATAAAGCTATTTTATTACTATTATTATTATTTATAATTTGCTTAGAATTATATTGCCGCTTCTCTTCCGGTAGGTTTTGCTAGGTGACTGGTGTATTTACCGATTAAATAACAGCATTGTTACACCAGCCGGCAGAGCTCGTCAACTAATAATTTGCGATATCACGAATAAGTACCAGACTCTTGTTTATTTCTGCTGCAAAGCGATCAAGGTTTGAAAGTGGGAGAGTCGATTTGCAACTGTTGTAATCTGACCGCGTTATTCACGCTGCGATATTTGCAGATTTCGATAGTTACATATCACTAAGTAAACCAAAAGGAACGACAAAAAAAATTCCAAATTTTACTCCCCATTGTCTGAACAAAAAAAAAACATTTCCCATAAACAGTATTTAACTCCGTTTTTAATTGAGTACGAAAATTTTTATGTTTACGCTTAGCTATGAGATGCTCGTGAAAGACGTAGACG